TTCTCAAATGATCAAAAATCTTGGTATTCTACAATATATTTCTTGAACTACAGTTGCCTTTTTTAATTCAGAAATGACTGTCGCAGAAAAAAACAAATTCTCGCCTTAATCGGGAGGCGGGATTTATTTTGCAAGGTGCGGCACGTTTTTTTTCAATGAATAATTATTTCTGATTTTTTGCATTTCGAAATTTAGTGAAGAAAAAAAAGATGAAAACGAAAAAATTATTTAAAAAACGTGGAACGTGTAATCGTGGCAGGGGGCGGAGTCGAAAGGAAAAAAAGTAAGAAATTTATGCCTGTGGAGAATACGTTTCGCCAGGCTGTGAAAGAATAAATACTCGATGAATAAATGCTATTCTGAACGCACATATTATTGAATCATGTGTTGAATTTATTTTGTAGATTGAAGCAAATTGCTGCCAAATCCATTTCTCATCGAATTGTTCATGGTATTATATCAGTTCTTCTAAATAATGTTTAATTATATATTTTCTAGATGGTGGTTAATTTTATAATTTGGAGGAAATTGATACAATTTTGATTCTACATCTAAATTGAAATGTTTTTTTGTGTGAGCCAGCAGATCGAAAAAGATCTTAGATAGCGAAATTGTTTCAAAAATGGGCACATTTTAGATTAAATTATATGAAAAACTCATTAAAATGGCATCATTTCCATCCAATCTCAGTGCCACTGAAAAAAAAATCATTTGTCCAATTAAAATGAGTTGAGAAAATCTCGTAACTGGTTAATGACTTACTCAGAGATTAAGTTCTGATGATCAAAAAATCTTGGAACTTTTCATCAATTCAGAATCTCCAGTGTAAATATGGTCTTTAATCTCTCCTTTAAACCTTATTGATGAAGAAAAAAGTTATTTAAAAGTTGTACAAGCCGTTTTCTGAAAATTACTTTCGGAACTTGAAAACCCTATGAAAATAAGGATAATTTTGGTTTTTCGATTCTTTCTTTTCTCTGGAAATCGGAAACAATATAAGATTTTAATTGTCAGTGATTTGCTGGAAATTGATATTTATATACTTCCAAATCATTATTATTCATGAAGTCTTTTTTCAAAACGCAATATTTTTTGTAATTTTGTGTGGGAAACAGAAAAAACGAAAATGACAAAAGTCGGCGGAATACGTTTCGCCGGGTTGTAATCCAAATCAACAATAAAAAACGATGATCTCGTTTTTAAGCAATAAAATTTTTATAATTTTGAAGCATCTATTGATTCTGAAAATTCGTCACATCACATTTTATTTATGGATCTTGTTTTGAAAACAGGAAACGATTTTTTTTAACTCACCAATTGCTTTTTATAAAAATATGTAAGCCTTTCTCATAAAAGTTTCGTTGTCCTCTCATCCAATAACTTTTCGCGTTGAATTTTCGAGCAGCGGAAAACTTTAATTTATCTAGGTTTTTTTCAAATTGAACACATTTATGGAACAATTTTTAACATTCTACAGTAATCTCATATTTTTTTGAACTACAATCAGGGGTGGGGAAACTGTCATGGCATCGTGCTGTTCTGTCCATGAACATGGCCTAAATTTGCCCTAGCTCGAACATGGCTTGAACCTATCCTCGTGAAAAATTTTCTGCGTGGAAAAAAAAAATAAAAATGCGATATCCTGTTTTTTTCCGCGTGTTTTTTCTCAACTAAAAAAGAACTTGTTCAGGACAGGACATGTAGCCAGGTTTGGCACGCGAACATGTCATGTCTTATGCTCTTACCACCAAAGCCAACATAAGGCCAACATGAGGCCAGGTTCCCCACACCTGAGTCGATATCAGACACTTTTGTGCCCGCATAAATTTGACCGTTCAAATCATTTTTCTGTTGAAAAATAACGGAACGTGGTAAAATGAATTGGAACATTTTTGAAAGGTCACGCAATAAATATTTTTGTATTGATCATTATTTAGAAATTTTGGAAATAATTAATAAGAAATTGAAAAAAACCTTTAATTACGTGTTTTAGTTAATTTCTTATTTCTTTTCTATTGATTATGTTTCTTTATCTTAAATTATTTCATAAACTTTTTTCTTTTGATTTTCGAGAGTTTGAATTATTTGGGATTTTGAATTTAATACATTTCTGGATGAATTCCGAAATTCTACAGTAATCTCATATTTTTTAACTACAGTAACCCATCTGCTAAAACATGTTATTTTATCTTAGAATTAAGTATTCGTCAAAAAATAATTTATTCAATTATATTTTCAACAAGTTCTTCTCGACAAATTCTATTTTTCATCCGATTTTTTCACATTTTTGGCGGCCTTTTTGATAATTTTCAACATAATTGAATCCTCGGTGTCCTCCAACAAATTCGGTGGTGCTTGTGTTTGCGTTTCTCCAAATTCGTCAACATATTTTTCCGGTTGGCACAGGCATAAATTGTTGACTTTTTTAATTCAGAAATGACTGTCGCAGAAAAAAACAAATTCTCGCCTTAATCGGGAGGCGGGATTTATTTTGCAAGGTGCGGCACGTTTTTATTCAATGAATAATTATTTCTGATTTTCTGCAAATTTAGTGGAGAAAAAAAAGATGAAAACGAAAAAATTATTTAAAAAACGTGAAACGTGTAATCGTGGCAGACGGCGGAGTCGACAGGAAAAAAGTCAGAAATTTATGCCTGTGGGGAATACGTTTCGCCAGGCTGTGAAAGAATAAATGCAGAAAATGCAAAACGATGGTTGAGTGATCGAATGTCTCTTCAAAATTGCGTTGATCAATCTGAAGCAAATCATTTAGGTTTCTTCACCAAACATTTTTAATTACCATTTGGGTCCAGCCAATTATCTTGTTGTCATCATCAGGTGTTAAATTGACATCGTGATATGATGTTATAAAATCCTTTATAATGAAGTCGATTTTTATTTTGAAATATCTCATAAATTTCAATTATATGTCGGCTTCAATCGGCTGAAACCACAATCTATTCAAAAACACGGCAAAAGCGGGCTGTATATCAATAGTTGAATCAATATTGTATATTGATGCGAATAAATTCCAGAGCCATATTTGACCAAATTGTTCGATTGGGATATCTGATCTTCTAAATAATGTTCAATTATATATTTCTAGATAGTGGTTAATTTTATAATGTGGAGGTAATTGATACAATTTTGATTCTACATCTAAATAGAAATGTTTTTTTGTGTGAGCCAGCAGCTCAAAAAAGATAGCGAAATTGTTTCAAAAATGGGCACATTTTAGATTATATGAAAAACTCATTAAAATGACATCATTTCCATCCAATCTCAGTGCCACTGAAAAAAATCATTTGTCCAATTAAAATGAGTTGAGAAAATCTCGTAACTGGTTTAAATACCACGCCCAGGGGTTAACAAATGCACAGCGCCAATAATTTTTTCCAAAATTTTAATGAAATCCACAACGCCAAAAAAAAGTTTCAAGTAAATTTTGGGCCGTTTTTTAAGAATTTTTTGAAAAAATACGTTGTTTTCACCACGCCAAAAATCCTTCAGAAACCACCCCGCCAATTTTTATTTTTTATCTGCACGGAGCTGGGCGTGGTATGACTGGTTAATGAATTACTCAGAGATAATGTTATGATGATCAAAAATCTTGGAATTCCACAGTAATCAAAAATTGATCGATGACGTCATCCATGGCAAAATTAGGAAGCCTTCCTGATTTTGCCACGAGTCATTTTTTTGATCAAAAAATTTGAAATTTTGATTGAATTCAATTGTAATTCTTATTTTCTCATAATGCCCAATGGAAATTGGCAATCGGTGAGAGTGAAGAAGACTTAGAGAAAAATAGATCAAAGGTACATTAAAAATTTGTGGGTCTGAAAATCCATAATTTTTGAAACTGCGGTTGCTAAACATATTTTGTTTCGAAACAAATCGAGGATGACTTTTAGTCACTTAGCACAGTGAAATTTCAAGAATAAATTCTCAAAAGTCAAGCTGAAACCTATTTTTAGATTTAACAAATCCTAGACCCACAAATTTAACTGTCTGTCACCGATTGCTTTTTGACATGTTGGGTTTCTGTGAAAAAAGAAAATAAAGACCAAACCAAGTGGGCGGAGCCTGTGCAATGGGATAGATAGTATGTGGCGCTACCAGCGAGTTGTCGGCAGAGTTTTTGTCGTCCAGAGCCATATTTGACCAAATTGTTCGATTGGGATATCTGATCTTCTAAATAATGTTCAATTATATTTTTCTAGATGGTGGTTAATTTTATAATGTGGAGGAAATTGATACAATTTTGATTCTAATGTTTATTTTGTTGCTCGAGAAAGATCTTAGTTAGCGAAATTGTTTCTAAAATGGGCCCATTTTAGAACAGTAACCCATCTGCTAAAACATGTTAATTTATCTTGAAATGAAGTATTCGTCAAAAAATAATTTATTCAATTATATTTTCAACAAGTATTATCTATATTCTTCTTCACCAATTCTATTTTGGATTTTTTCACATTTTTGGCGGCCTTTTTGATAATTTTCAACATAATTGAATCCTCGGTGTCCTCCAACAAATTCGGTGGTGCTTGTGTTTGAGTTTCTCCAAATTCGTCGACATATTTTTCCGGTTGGCACAGGCATAAATTCTTGACTTTTTTAATTCAGAAATGACTGTCGCAGAAAAAAAAAATTCTCGCGTGAATCGGGAGGCGGGATTTATTTTGCAAGGTGCGGCACGTTTTTTTTCAAACAATAATTATTTCTGATTTTTTGCATTTCGAAATTTAGTGAAGAAAAAAAGATGAAATCGAAAAATTATTTAAAAAACGTGAAACGTGTAATCGTGGCAGAGGGCGGAGTCGACAGGAAAAAAAGTCAGAAAAATATGCCTGTGGGGAATACGTTTCGCCAGGCTGTGAAATAATGACTTACTGAAAAATAATTTATTCAATTATATTTTCAACAAGTATTATCTATATTCTTCTTCACCAATTCTATTTTGGATTTTTTCACATTTTTGGCGGCCTTTTTGATAATTTTCAACATAATTGAATCTTCGGTGTCCTCCAACGAATTCGGTGGTGCTTGTGTTTGCGTTTCTCCAAATTCGTCGACATATTTTTCCGGTTGGAAATCATCGCCCTGATTTTTTGCCAAGCGACCTTGTTGACATTTCGAATTGTTTTCGACATAAAACTTTCGCTTCCGTCTTCATCTAGTGTCTCCCCAAACTCATTCAAGATTTTGCTCGGTTGATAACAAGCCAATTTCTCCTCGTTTTCAGAATTTGATTTCAACGTGCTTGACAAAATTGATTTTGGCAAAACGATGGTTGAGTGATCGAAGGTCTCTTCAAAATTGCGTTGATCAATCTGAAGCAAATTATTTAGGTTTCTTCACCAAACATTTTTATTTACCATGTGGGTCCAGCCAATTATCTTGTTGTCATCATCAAGTGTTATATTGACATCGTGATATGATGTTAAGAAATCCTTCATAATGAAGTCGATTTTTATTTTGAAATATCTCATAAATTTCAATTTTATGTCGACTTCAATCGGCTGAAACCACAATCTATTCAAAAACACGGCAAAAGCGGGCTGTATATCAATAGTTGAATCAATATTGTATATTGATGCAAATAAATTCCAGAGCCATATTTGATCAAATTGTTCAACTGGGATATCTGATCTTCTAAATAATGTTCAATTATATATTTCTAGATAGTGGTTAATTTTATAATTTGGAGGAAATTGATACAATTTTGATTCCACATTTAAATAGACATGTGTTTTATGTGAGCCAGCAGCTCAAAAAAGATCTTAGATAGCGAAATTGTTTCTAAAATGGACCCATTTTAGAACAAAATAATATAAGAACTCATTAGAAAGACACAATTTCCACTGTCAGTGCCACTTCAAAAAAACCATTGTGTCCAATATAAAAATTAGTTGAGGAGATATTATGACTGGGAAATGACTTACTTCGTGATGAAATCCACGAATTTCGATTCCAATTCTTGTGCTCTCTTTACAAGTGTTTCAACATTCGATTGTTTTTGTATTGGTGGTGGAACAAATTCAAAATTGATCAATCGATTTTTATGCCATTTTATCGATTTCAATGTTATTGATCTTTCAATGAATAATTTGCCATTATCATTAATAAGTACATCGAGATGTTTGATCAAATTCAATTTTTTTGCAGCTTCTATTTCACTTCGATACAGATTGGGCACCATCACATTTTGATAACTGTAAAAATGTGATTGTTTCAAAAAAATAAGAAAAATCACTCACTGCTCAAACAGCTCATCTGGTTCAATATCAGGCAAAATATTGGATTTTAAAAATTGAACAAAAAACGCAACATCGACGACATTTTCCTTTTTCTTCAAAACAATACTGCTGAAAAATTGAAAGTCAATTTGAAAATGAGGTTGTTCACCTTACTTAAAAATATAGTTCCAAATGATATTCTCGTTCTTCAGCAATAAAACATCTGAAGAATCCATTGATTCTGAAAACTTATCACATCATATTTTCTTTATGGATCTTGTTTTGGAAATAGGGAACATTTTTTCAACTCACCGACATCACTAATTCTCTCATATATTTCGGGCTCCCCGGCATTTTTGTTGGAAGTGTGGCGAGCATGCCGAGTTCATTTCCGAACAATTTTTTAACTTGATTGTTAAAATAATTGAATACTTTTTATTATAAATTGAAAAATAACGGAACGTGGTAAAATGAATTGGAACATTTTTGAAAGGTCACGCAATAAATATTTTTGTATTGATCATTATTTAGACATTTTGGAAATAATTAATAAGAAATTGAAAAAAACCTTAAATTACGTGTTTTCGTTAATTTCTTAATTTTTTTCTATTGATTAAGCTTCTTTAACTTTATCTTTATTTCAATAATTATTTATTTTTGATTTTCGAAAGTTTAAATTATCTGGGATTTTGAATTGAATACATTTCTGGAAGAATTCCGAAATTCTACAGTAATCTCATATTTTTATTGAACTACAGTAACCCAAACTGCTAACTTTTCTGATGACCAAAATGAATAAAAAAAAATGTCTCCACAGGGAAATTAATCTATTAATTAATTACTTTTTTATCTTACCATCAGTATCCAATTCCATAATCTTGTTGATATGAGGAGGAATACTTTTGATTCGGCCTTTATCTTGAAATGAAGTATTCATCTTGAAATGAAGTATTTTATCTTGAAATGAAGTATTCGTCAAAAAATAATTTATTCAATTATATTTTCAACAAGTATTTTCTTCTCCACCAATTCTATTTTTCAAAAAAAAAAATCGGCCCGAGTTTTTCCAAAAAAATCGGCCCGAGTTTTTCCAAAAAAATCGGCCCGAGTTTTTTCAAAAAAAAAATCGGCCCGAGTTTTTCCAAAAAAATCGGCCCGAGTTTTTTTCAAAAAAAAAATCGGCCTTTTTTTTCATTTGGGCGGGTATTTTTGTCAAACAAAAAAAATCGGGCCGATTTTTTTTTCCGAAAAATTGATCGATGACTTGATCCATGGCAAAATTAGGAAGCCTTCCTGATTTTGCCACGAGTCATTTTTTGATCAAAAAACTTGAAATTTTCTATAAATTTGTTTTCCACAGAAAATTGAAAATAATCACAGAAAAAAGTGAAACTGAAAAAAAATGAGAAGACTGTTACGCCTGGGGGCTAACAGCCCCTAGTCTACCATTCAATAAAATCGCACAGTGTACAATTCGTATAGAAATATTTTTTCCGGATTTTTTTGACAACGGCGGATATTTTTTCCGAAAAAAGCTGAAAAAACCACTCAAAAACGAGAGAAAAAACAAAAAATAAAAATGGCGTGCAAAAAAAATAAAAGAAAAACAACGATACTCCGCGTGCACGTTGTTTAGCGTGTTTATTTTGTTGTTTTTTTCAGTGTAGACGAGAGAGTGTGGGAAATGGAGAGAGAGTTAGAGAGAGAGAGAGATATGTTTTTTATTTGAAAAGAAACTATTGATTGAACATTTTTCTCGAACTGAATCATTTTTCTAGGTTTTTTCAGCGCAGAAAATGTTATTAATGGGGTGATTTGGTACATTTTTTAATTTTCTTATTTTTTTAGAGACAACTGTAACAGAATGCAGCGGTCCTATCAAATCTACAATTGTCATTTTCTGATGTAAGTTTAAGAATAGGCGAAGATTTTGAGAAAAAGAATGTAGATGTTTCAGGCTTTCGAAAAAGAAGATTTTACGTTTGTACAGGACATTCAAAGATATCAACAACTTTTCACGGAAAGGACCAGTCAAGTTAGTTTATTTTGAGGTTTGGGAGGGGGGAGGAAAAAAACTAACAGGTGAGATTTGAACTTCATTGAAAAATATTGGGTAAAGTTTTTTATTCATAATCACTATTGAAAGTTGTTTATAAATTACTATGTTTGAATGATTAGATGAAGCTTTAAATTACACTTGATGGTATAGGATCAGCTTCCAGATTTTATTGAAAAACAAACTATGAAATATTTCATAGGTAGATTAATGTTTTCATAGTTTTATGCACGCGATTTCCAGTTTGTTTTGAATGTATTTATTTTTCTTTTATAATCTATGTCTTATTAAACTTTACAATTTGTATTCCCAGGCGTCACTTTTTTAAAAGAAATATTTTTTTTTAAAAGAAATATTTTTTTCTCACGTCAGCTTAGAATTAGCTGCGAATAATAGGGTTTTCTTCAAAATTTAGAATTTATGAGGATTTTCTGACTGTTCCGCCTAGTTGGGCACCGCCACTTCAATGAATAATTATTTCTGATTTTTTGCATTTCAAAATTTAGTGAAGAAAAAAAGATGAAATCGAAAAAATTATTTAAAAAACGTGAAACGTGTAATCGTGGCAGGGGGCGGAGTCGACAGGAAAAAAGTCAGAAATTTATGCCTGTGGGGAATACGTTTCACCAGGCTGTGAAAGAATAATAACTCAAATCGATTGATAATTCGATAGTTGAGAGTTTGGCAGAATTGTTCGAGTAACTCATTGAAGCTGAAAATTTGTCACATCATATTTTCTTCATGGAAGTTATTTTGGAAACAGGGAACGATTTTTTAACTCACCGATTCTTTTTGTAATAACTAGGGGCTGTTAGCCCCCGGCGTAACAGTCTTCTCATTTATTTCCGTTTCACTTTTTTCTGTGATTATTGTCAATTTTCTGTCGATAATTGACTTGCAATCAAATTCATTGAAAATTTCAATCAAAATTTTAGAAAATTACAAGTTTTTTGATCAAAAAATGACTCGTTGCAAAAAAATCTTTTTTTCGTTGGATGAAAAAACTCGGGCAGATTTTTTTTTGAAAAAAGCTCGGGCCGATTTTTTTTTTGAAAACTCGGGCCGATTTTTTTGAAAAAACTCGGGCCGATTTTTTTTTTGAAAAAACTCGGGCCGATTTTTTTGGAAAAACTCGGGCCGATTTTTTTTTTTTGAAAAAACTCGGGCCGATTTTTTTGAAAAAACTCGGGCCGATTTTTTTTTTGAAAAAACTCGGGCCGATTTTTTTTTTTGGAAAAACTCGGGCCGATTTTTTTTTAAAAACTCGGGCCGATTTTTTTTTTGAAAAACTCGGGCCGATTTTTTTTTTGAAAAAAGCTCGGGCTGATTTTTTCTGAAAACTCGGGCCGATTTTTTTTTGAAAAACTCGGGCCGATTTTTTTTGAAAAACTCGGGCCGATTTTTTTTGAAAAAACTCGGGCCGATTTTTTTGAAAAACTTGGGCCGATTTTTTTGAAAAAAGCTCGGGCCGATTTTTTTGAAAAAAGCTCGGGCCGATTTTTTTTTTGAAAACTCGGGCCGATTTTTTTTTTTTGAAAAAAAAACTCGGGCCGATTTTTTTTTTTGAAAAAACTTGGGCCGATTTTTTTGAAAAAAAGCTCGGGCCGATTTTTTTTTGAAAAAACTCGGGCCGATTTTTTTTGAAAACTCGGGCCGTTTTTTTTTTTTTTTTTTTGAAAAAAGCTCGGGCCGATTTTTTTTTTGAAAACTCGGGCCGTTTTTTTTTTTTTTGAAAAAACTCGGCCCGATTTTTTTGAAAAACCCGCAATAAATATTTTTGTATTAATCATTATTTAGACATTTTTGACCTATTTAATAAGAAATAGAACAAAAACTTAAATTACGACAAAAACTTAATTTACGTGTGTGGTTAATTTTATAATTTGGAGGAAATTGATGCAATTTTGATTCTACATCTAAATAGAAATGTTTTTTTTGTGTGAGCCAGCAGATCGAAAATAATCTTAGATAGCGAAATTGTTTTTAAAATGGGCCCATTCTAGAGTAAATTACATTGGTTTCTTATTTCTTTTCTATTGATTATGCTTCTTTATCTTCAAATATTTCATAAAATTTTTTATTTTTGATTTTCGAGAAGCGGAAAACTTTAAATTATCTAGGTTTTTGAATTGACTACATTCCTGGAAAAATTCAAAAATTCTACAGTGATCTCATATCTTTTGAGCTACAGTAACCCAAACTGCAAATTTCTCTCATGATCAAAAATCTTGGAATTCTACAGTTTATTTCTTGAACTACAGAACTGCAAAATTTTGATTTTAAAAAATCGCTTTTGAAAGGTCACGGATTGAATATTTTTGTATTTTTGTGTGGGAAACAAAAAAAAATCGAAAACGAAAAAAAAGTGGGGAATACGTTTCGCCAGGCTGTGAAAGAATAAATGCAGAAAGTGCAATTTGATACCACAACAGGGTTCCGACCCGGTTCAGGACCATCAGTTTGGGGCAGGACCAACCCGAAAAAACCTACCCAAACTGAACCATTTTTACCCAGTTCAAAATATATCCACCCAAACCCAAAACCAAAAAGCGGGCCTGGGTTTGACCCGACCCAAACCCGAACCAACCCGGACCAAACCGAACCCGAACCCATTTTTTGGTTACCCAACTCAAACCCAAAAAAATGGGCCAAGCCCGGGTCAGGCCCAAACCAATTGGAAACCCATAATTACCCACCCAACCCAACCCAACCCAACTTGAACCTATTTTGACCCGGGTACCCGAGTTTGGAACCACAGGTTACCCGAAAAAGTTTTCGTGAATAACTTTTAAACGCAGTTTTGTGAACTTTTTTAAAAGCTTAAAAATTTATCTCAATATCTCAATATAAATACAGTGCGTTTCATAATGATAGGTTCACCCCCAAAATTTCTGAAATCAGCCGAGGTGTGAGTTGTAATAACAATCCGAGTTAAAAATAAAAAAGAGCACACAAAATTAGCTAAGAAAACTCAATTTTATCTGAAACTACCAAATAATAAAAAAATAAATGACCGGAGTTCAAAAATTTCAAAAATTTAGCGTTTCAAAACGATAGGTTCACCCGCAGTAGTACTGTAGTTATGTTTCGTGGTAGGAGTTTTATCGAATATTCTGGAAAATACGAGTGATATTTGATTATTTTAACGTGTTTCTGTTTTTGTTCTCGTTTTTTCACGTCATTCATCAATGTCGCGGGGAAGTCATCTTACAAAAGAGGAACAAGCTCAAATTAGAGCATTCAAAATCGCCGGATGGTCCAATAGAATGATTTCGTCAAAATTGAAACGATCTCTCAACTGTATTAATCAATTTGTCAACAATCCGGATCACTATGAGCGAATGAAAAACACTGGAGCTCCCAAAAAACTCACGGAGAGAGATAAACGAGGGATTGTTAGGTTGGCTTCGAACACAATGAAATCGTGTAATGACATCAAAAACGAGCTGGGTTTGAATATCAGTAAGACTACAGTTTGGAGAGCCATAGACCAATCCCCAGAAATCGTTCGAGCCAAATTGGTGCCAGCTCCGCGTCTCACACTTCGCCACAAAGACAACCGTCTTACTTTCGCAAAAGCCAACATGGCCACAGATTGGGATAAGGTAAGTAATTTTTCTAAAAACATCAAATATTGATGTTTTCTTGTTCAGATAATTTTTTCTGACGAAAAAAGTTTAATCTTGATGGTCCGGATGGTTACAACTCATACTGGCATGATATCAGAAAGGATCAACTTCGCTTCCCAAAGAGAAATTTTGGAGGAGGACGGGTTATGTGTTGGGGCGCATTTTCTGCAGCTGGAACGTTAAAAATAGCTTTTGTTTCATTCAAGATGGATTCGTTAGATTACCAAAAACCCTCCATGACTATCTTTTGCCATATTTGAGGCGGTTCCGGACCAGAAAGTTCACTTTTCAACAGGATAATGCTGCCATCCACGTCAGCCAATCATCAAAAGATTGGTTCAAAAGCCACAAAATCAAAGTTTTGGATTGGCCAGCGTGTTCTCCTGATCTTAATCCGATGGAAAACGTATGGGGGGAGCTCGTTCGCCGAGTTTATGCTCAAGGAAAAAAATATGATACTGTGGACCAACTCAAAGATGCCATCGAGACGGAATGGAATAAAATCGATAAGAACTACCTCAAGAGACTTGTTGACTCGATGCCAAATCGTCTCTATGATGTCATTTCTAAACATGGAGGTCCAACTAAGTATTGATTTTCGATTATATGTCTCCAATGGGAATTCTGGATTAGGTGAACCTATCGTTTTGAAACGCTAAATTTTTGAAATTTTTGAACTCCGGTCATTTATTTTTTTATTATTTGGTAGTTTCAGATAAAATTGAGTTTTCTTAGCTAATTTTGTGTGCTCTTTTTTATTTTTAACTCGGATTGTTATTACAACTCACACCTCGGCTGATTTCAGAAATTTTGGGGGTGAACCTATCATTATGAAACGCACTGTATAATTAGCTTCGGAGCTCAATTAGCTCCCGATTATCACCGAAGCTCTAGAAATTGTTGTGAAAGTTTGGCGTGCTCTAGTGTTACTCTGATGCAAATGCAAGATTGTCAGCGATTTTTTGGACAATTTGTGCTACTCTATTGCTTTAAATTGTTGGACTCAGGAATTTCTCCGGACTTTCATTTTGATAGGGAAATTATGCAATTGTGATTGTATCAAATAGCTTATTTCAGATCCCAAGTCTTAATTCACTTGAGAGTTTCATGCTTTTTATTTTTGAATCATAAAAGCATTAAAAAACAATTTTTAAGAGATAAATAAATTAATATATAAATAATAAATGTTGCGCACAAGTTCATAGATAACAATAATCCGAATCAAAACTACTCCGAGTTTGTAAACGGCTCTTCGGTTGTTTCCGCATTACTAATTGGAGAAGGAATTCCATCATCATTCAGCAGTTCACCATCTTTAGAGATATCCCCTCCATTTGACTCTTCGACTATATGTCGGATTTCCTCGTCTTCTCCTTCATTTCTCTCTTGAATTTCGATTGAATCTCTTGATAGATCACTATAATATTCATCATCATCTTCATCAGAGATGTCGGAAATGTCCGAATTCATGTCGTATTCGGTTTCAACAACTTGTTCTTCTTCCTCTTCTTCAACAATTTCAATCCCGTAATCTGATTCTTCTTTCCTGAAAAACAGAATTTCCATTTAGTTTTTAAAATAAAGTTTAGTGAAAAATTGACCATTTGAACATTTTTCAACAAAAAACGACAAACTTACAGTTCCTTTGCAATCGCGACATACGAGAGTAAAAAATCAACAGTTGATTGTGCTGTAAGACGATTTCGAAGTTTGTTTGATGTAAATCGACCACTCAAACTGAAAATAGTAATGGAACAACAATGAGAAGAAGTCCAACATACCTAAAAATTCTCTCGACTTCAGAAGATGAAGCGGGAATTGCGCCGTACTTTTGAGCAAATCTGTGAAGAATTGGGAGTTTTTGCGAATGTAAAGTCCAGAAATCGCTGTAATTTGAGGATGGACTTGGTCGAGAATTGATGAGAATATTCCGATATAACACAAGTTCTTTCTCCAAACATGATCGATAATTTGCATTATTGTTACATTGTCCAGAAGATAGAAATGACTCGAATTTATCAGTCATTTTTGCTTTCTTTTGTGGAACTGGTGGTGCAACATCGCGTTGGATGAACCACTCCTCAATATCGGCGTCATTCTCTGAATAAAAACTATGAATATATATTCACTAAATGATGAATTCTACATTTTTTCATGTGAGTTCATGAAACAATGAAAATTTTCTGACAAATGTGGCCGTGGCCTAGAAATCCACAGATCCTGTGTACTTCTCTCGGACAATGATTTATTTTTTCTTTTCAAAAGTTTCTTTTTTTTTCTGTTTTTTTTAAAATTTTGGCTGAAAAAACGTTTTCTTTAAATGATTTTTTGCAGAAGGCTTGAAATGGACAACACTATGATTGATGATGGCAGAGAAATGGCGAAAAAATGTAAGGTATTCAATTTTTTCAAAAGATAATGTTTTATCCGATTTTGTCGGAAATAATGAATTTTTTTCGTATAATTTAAAATTTATATCACTAAAATGTTTTTTCAACATACCAATTGCCGTAATCAATTCGTCCTCAATTTTTTTCCAATTGAAATTGCGACATTCTATCTGATTCAAATAAGCGTATCTCGCATCCATTATAGTCGCTAATCGAATTGCTTCATTTGACATGTAACTATCCAATCTTGAAAAAATATCTTAAATATAGTTTGACATAATAAAATATATACATACCGTGTGTTAGTTGAATCAATCAGTGCATTGGCAAACTTTTTAATCTTTCCTCTCAAATCTTTGTAATTCTGATCCTTCAATAAATTAGCGGCGGTTTTTCGTAGAATTGCGATACCGGCTTTTAATCTTGGATAGATTTCAGAAGCAGTGGTTGTGCGTTTTTCAAACTGAAAAAATTAGCTTTTTAACAACAAATCAGTGCTTTACACGAAAAAAGTCGAACGAAAATTTACATGTAATGTTAATTCCTTGAAAGGCGAGGTCAATTCAATGTATGCGTTGATCAATGAAACATCATTTGGGTGAAATATATAATCTTTGAATTCAGGAATACATCCTATGATTTTCACCTGAAATAATAAATATATCTCAATATATATTTCTAATATAACACTCACATTCGCTTGAACTGCAGTCAGTAGGTCTAAGCATCCCATCCATCTTGTTTTACTGTAGTTTTGCGGAATACCGTGAGCAATTTTGTTGAGCTTGGCCTGATGCTTGAATTCATCTCGTTTTTTCCGAGAACTAGCCAATCCTGTCGCAATTGCTCTCGATGTTGCTAAAATTTCAGTGAATACATCGCAATTTTTGATTGTTGCATCATTGATTATCAAATGCACTTGATGACAAACGCACTTGATTCTGAAAATAATGTTTAGTAAAATTTCAATTAAAAATTATATTCATACTGTTCTTTTTGCATTTTCTCCGCTGCTAAACGCAAGTTGCTGGCAGCATCTGACACTACAAAATCGAAATTGGCTAGGGACAAATCATATCTTCTTAATGCTTCGGATATAGCAACGACAAGTGAAGATGAATCGGTCTTTTCAATTTGAAATCCTGCGATTAGCTGCAAACGTAATGAGATTTATTCATCTTCTCTGTTCGATTAAAATTACCTGCTGAATGAGCTTCCCATTTTCATTATATGCAACAACTAATGAATAAATCTCGTAATCCATATCATCTTTGGTCCAACCATCAATTAAAAATGTCATGTTCTGAAAACAATTTTATTTAGAATTCTGCGAAATAATTTATTAGGAAAAACGGTATTGAAGCCGTTGATATTTCGAACAAAAAAATTCCAGAGCTACTCACTTTTCTGTTTTTCAATTCTTGTTTTGTATTCATCTCAAATTTTCGTCTATAATCCGAAATATCAGATTTCAATGTATCTGCTGTGATAAGTTGGATTTTTGGTTCCAAAATATTTATCATTTTTCTATAGTTCTTGTTTTCGACGCAGCGATAAGGGATGTTCCCACTGACAAAAAATTTCAGTTGTTGCTGACGGAAATTGACATTCAGTTGTTTTACTGAAACGCGAGAAGTTGTACTTGAGGATGTTCCATTTTTCCTTTCTTCATTCTGAAATTTTCAGGATAGAATTCAGCATTAGTAGAAGGAACTTACCGAAATATGGCAAGCATAGTCATCTGCATGAATTGTTTTAACGTGTCGAAGTAAGGTAGATGTCCCATATCCCGCATGATAAACCACTGAACAAATATTGCATTTAGCGGTTTCATTTTCAGTATTCTTTTGGAAAAATTTCCATACAATAGAAGGCATTTCAAAGCAATTTTCAAATTGAAAATCTGGCTTAAATTTGAACAGCAACTTTCAAATTGAAAATCTGGCTGAAATTTGAAACAACAAAATTGTTACACGTATGCTCAACGTGTCATTGGTTGGAATACAGAAGACACGTTGTGCTTCATAAAAAAAAAATAAAACGTGAAAAATTTTTTTAAACAAATATTTATTTTTTTTTAATATTCAAAAACAAGATAAAGATTGAAAAAAATAAAAAAATATTTAAAACATTCGACAAAAAGTAGCGTTGGAAGTATTTTTCTGAAAAATGATAAACTGATTAACTTCTTCCGAATATTCTTTTAAAAAATTGGTCCCCAGAATCGGGGTGTGGTTTTACTTTTTCTAAATCTTATTGAAATGGTGCATGATTTTATGCAAATATTTTATGCAAATAATTTAGGAAAATTCTTAGATTCTTCGAAAAAACTTTCCAAGCTACAATTTTTCAAAAAGGTTCCCCGAGGCAACTATTTTAGTTAGGCTCCAATTTTATGTATGGTTGAAAAACTTATTATTGTTTATCTATAATTTTTTTTTCTATTTAAAATGAGATAAATTTTTAAGCTTTTAAAAAAGTTCACAAAACTGCGTTTAAAAGTTATTCACGAAAACTTTTTCGGGTAACCTGTGGTTCCAAACTCGGGTACCCGGGTCAAAATAGGTTCAAGTTGGGTTGGGTTGGGTTGGGTGGGTAATTATGGGTTTCCAATTGGTTTGGGCCTGACCCGGGCTTGGCCCATTTTTTGGGTTTGAGTTGGGTAACCAAAAAATGGGTTCGGGTTCGGTTTGGTCCGGGTTGGTTCGGGTTTGGGTCGGGTCAAACCCAGGCCCGCTTTTTGGTTTTGGGTTTGGGTGGTTCACCCATATTTTGTTTTCGGTTTTGGGCCCAACCCAGCTGAACCAAAACCAACCTGGCCCAAAAACCGGCCCGATTCGGAACCCTGTACCACAATCTATTCACAAAAACTACATCTAAATAGAACTGTTTTTTGTGTGAGCCAGCAGCTCAAAAAAGATCTTAGATAGCGAAATTGTTTCTAAATGGGCCCATTTTACAACAAAATAATATAAGAACTCATTAAAATGATACAATTTCCACTGTCAGTGCCACTTCAAAAAAAAGCCAATGTGTCCAATCAAAATGAGTTGAGGAGATCTTATGGTGCGGCACGTTTTTTTAATGAATAATTATTTCTGATTTTCTGCATTTCGAAATTTAGTGGAGAAAAAAAGATGAAAACGAAAAAATTATTTAAAAAACGTGGAACGTGTAATCGTGGCAGGGGGCGGAGTCGAAAGGAAAAAAAGTCAGAAATTTATGCCTGTGGGGAATACGTTTCGCCAGGCTGTGAAAGAATAAATCCATTTCTCGACTGGGATAATTGTTCAACTGGGATATCTTCTCTTCTAAATAATGTTTAATTATATTTTTTCTAGATAGTGGTTAATTTTATAATGTGGAGGAAATTGATGCAATTTTGCTTCTAAATACAAATAGAAATGTTTTTTTGTGTGTCATTTTTTGATAAAAAAATTTGAAATTTTGAATAAATTTGTTTTCCACAGAAAATTAAAAATAATCATAGAAAAAGGAAAAAGACTTTTCAATGGGTGGTTGAAGTCCGGAGGAATTGGAAAAAGTATTCGGAAAATATATGAATGTGAGTTTTCTTTGACGTATTTATCCAGTTATTTGGTGATGTTCTAACTGAAAAACAATAATATTCACAAATTTTATTTATCTCTACAAAAATCCACAACAAAAATCAGCGATTAATCATTGCTTTTCCAACATTTTTCGAAGAAACTCAATCTCCTTTTTTTGAGTCTCAATAATCTGAAAAAAATTTATAAATATCAATAGCAAAACCAATATTTCAGGAACTCACCGCTGCATTTGTTCTTTCTTTTCCCCTTGTTTCCGATAATTCCGATTTGAGATTTTCGATTTCAATTTGGGCTTGAGCAAGCTGTTTTTCCTGAAATCATTTGGAATAACAACGCTGATTTAGAAACGAATAATTTATGTTTCTTCCCAAACATTTTAAATTACCTTGTGTCTCCATCCCACAATGAGATTATCATCAAGTTCTAGTTCGATATCGTGGTAAATTTCAATCCACTCTTTCATCATGAAATCGACTCTTATTTTGAAAAATTGAATCAATTGTACCTTGATATCCACCCCGATCGGTTGATAGAATATTCTCATGAGAAAAGCAAGAAATGCCGAAAATATATCGATTTTCGGATGCACTTTATAAATTTCGGCAAAATTTTTCCATATCCATTGTTCACCGAATTGATCAATGGGAATAATTCCTTCTCTCCTGAATAAAGTTCGATTATATTTTCTAGATGGTGGTTAATTTTATAATGTGGAGGAAATTTTGATTCTACATAATACAAAAATTTATAATATAAATAGAAATGTTTTTTTGTGTGAGCCAGCAGCTCGAAAAAGATCTTAGATAGCGAAATTGTTTCTAAAATGGGCTCATTTTAGAGTAAATTATATGAGAAACTCATTAAAATAATACAATTTGCACTGTCAGTGCAATCAAAATGAGTTGAGGAGATTTTATAACTGGTTAATGACTTACTTCTTTAAAAATTCAATGAAACTCTTTTCAAGCTGATAACTCATATCCATTGATGATTGAATGGTTGAAATTTGATGTTTCAAGTTGTCCATTGACGCTGAAAACATGTCACATCATATTTTCTTCATGGAAGTTATTTTGGAAACAGGGAACGATTTTTTTCAACTCACCGATTCTTTTTGTGATAATATGAAAAATAAGGGAACGTGGTAAGATTAATTGGAACATTTTTGAAAGGTCACGCAACAAATATTTTTGTATTGATCATTATTTAGAAATTTTTGACATAATTAATAAGAAATAGAACAAAAACCTTAAATTACGTCAGTATCCAATTCCATAATCTTGTTGATTTGAGGAAGAATACTTTTGATTCGGCCACCAGGTCGTCTTGAGTTTTCCCGCGACGTGATCTCAATTTTTGTCATCCAAAAAAGAAAGAAAGGTGACTGTTTATATTGTAAACCGTTATTTTTTAAACTTTTTTTTTGACATTCAAATATTTTATCTTGAAATGAAGTATTCGTCAAAAATAATTTATTTTGAATACACTTTTTACAAGTAATTGAACAATATATTTATTCAAAGGAACCTGTTTCCTCCTCCTCCAAAACCGCCTCTTGGTGGTCCGAACATTTCGCGGCGAAGTGGATCGCCGAAAGGATCGAGATCTAGAAGAAAATTAGATTTGGAGGCTACAACTGAGATTTTGAAAAAATAAGTTACCAGCATTTCCTCCACGTCTCGGATTTTGTCCGAAAATTGGATTGATGACTCCTGGTCGATTATCACCTGGTGGCAATCTTGGATTTCGAATTGGATTGAGTGGATCGAAGTCGTCTTGGAAATATCTAAAAAAGGAATATTTTTCAAATTGTCTTCGGTCAGAAACTTTCAGGAAATACTTTTTATTTACAAAATTGGTTTAAATCACGACTAGTGTATCGAAAATGCTCAGAAATCAGACTCATTTTTGAATAAAAATAGTTTTCTGCAAAAATTTTAGATTTTTAATTGTTTATAAATTAATTTTTAAGAATCTTTCAACGAATCATTTTTCGAAAACTCAAAGTTCCCTCGTCTTTTCTCTTATGATGTTTATTTTTGTCATTTGAAAAATATTTAGAGTCATACTACAAAAAAATGTAGTTATTTTATTTTTTTCAGATTGTAAATACAAACTTACTCAGTGTCTGGATCAAATGGTCGACGTGGTTGATGATATTCTCCAATCAATAATGGATTTCTTGGATTCTCAACCAACAATGATCGACCCAATCCTCTAGAAGTATTTGCATTTCGATGTGCTTCTGCTTTTTGTGTTTGATATTGTCGATAAAACGATCTTCCAATACTAGTCGCTTCTTGAAGTTTTTCAGCTCCAAATTCTTTTTTCAAATGTTTTCTCCAAAATCGATTATCACAATCTCTTGACAAAACAATTTCTCGAATTGGTTTATTCGAAAATGCCAACTTTGTACCATCTTTGCCATTCAAATAACTGAGAAGAGTATCTCGAATCAAGGGAAACATCAAAAGATGTGCAAGAGTTTTGACATTTGCAATTGATAAAATAAGTGGAGAAAGTGTTTCAGCGATTTGATTTCGAATATTTGAAGAATCCGGAAATGATACACTTTTCACAATTGATCGAAGATTATCTGAAATTAGAAATTAGTATAGTTCTGAAACATTTCACTGAATAATTCATTATGTTTTTGTTCATCTTTTTTTCAGAGTTTTATTCTTTTTTGATGACTTTTTAGTTTATTCTCCTATTTTTCTTTGTAGTACCTTTTATGATATAAATATTGAGAAACACTTCGAATCCTCCCTCCTTCGTTATAAAAATCTGACCAACGATTCCAGATTCAACAGGGATTCCAGATTTTTGAACACTTTCGAAAATCATTTCAAAACCTTTGGTTCCAGAACCATTCCAAGATTGTAAACCAGATTCCTGAAAACTTGGAGTTTTCTGGAAAGTATTTTTCGAAAAAAAAGCTTACACTTTGATTTTCTCGATTCATAACATCTCGAATTGCTTGAAGAATGCGATTTCGAAAATCCTCCATTTTCTGAAGACATTTCAGTTTTGTTTTTAGAAGTGAGGTTCATCTTTTTTTCAAGTAAATACGGAAATCCGACCGTCGAAACTCATGAAAATTGAAAAACCTAATTAATATTTTTATATACATGAAATTCTAACAAATTATTTATTCTTGTATTCTCTTGCTCCAAATAATTTACTTCCAACCCGAACACTTGTGCTTCCTTGAGAAATTGCTTGTAGAAAATCATCAGACATTCCCATTGATAATTCAACGGAATCTTCGGATTCGCCTGAAATTTCGATGATGATTACAGAAATTCAAAAATGTTCGAACCTGTTTCAGTTGCCCATTGTTTTCTGACACCAACTAATGATTGAAAATCAGGATTAATTCCATCTGAATGACTATGATCAAAACTTCCAATTGTCATAAAACCGTCAAATCGAAGATTCGCGCAATTATTTCGAATGTATTCTGCGAGTTTCGGAGCGTCTCCAGGCAGAATTCCACCTTTGTTTTCTTCCGAACTTGTGTTAACTTGCACCAAAACTCTCAATTTCTCAGGTTTCTGTTGTTTTGCCCATTCTTTATCGAAATTTGTTGCGTGTTTTTCATTTTCCACGGTTTCGACGCAATAAATTCCAGGTGAACTGCAGATTTTTCCGATTTTATTTGATTGAACTTGTCCGATGAAATGCCAACGAATTTCACCACATGAATTTTTCAATTGCGCGGATTTTTCCTCCAATTCTTGAACATAATTCTCTCCAAAATGTCGTTGTCCCTTCGCGTAACATGCTTCAATCAATTCGGCGGGTTTTGTTTTACTCACGGCAACTAATCGACATCTGAAGCCTTCAATTTATGGATATTTCGATGTAGGAAAAATATACCTTTGAGTCGCCGCTTCAGTGATAGCTTCAAGTATATTTATGAGATTTTTCTGAACAATTTCCACCGACATAATTGTTGCGAAACTTCCACTCCGTTTCTATCAAAAATATTCGTTCTGTAATTTTCTTCAATAAGAACACTTTCAATTGTCAACAGTTAACAACTTTAGAGACACTGTGATCGATAAAACCATGATAAATTTGTGACGCACTCAAAAAAATAAAAATTTGTGACGCACTCCACAGTGCCCCGAACGCGTAGCCAGAGAAAAGTTGTGCGCATTTTTGGTGCATGTGCGGTAGAGCGCACAAGCCTGTTTGTCGGTTTTTTGAAAATTTAACACTAGCTTTTTTCTTGAAACGATTAGATTTGAATTTTACTTGCATGAAAACTCCCAAACTGAGCTATATCTTCTGGAGAATAATGAGAGGAACGTTTTGATATAAAACATGTGAAGATTGGATTCAAAATGAGTTAGTTAATATCTTTTGAAGAAAAGCAATTCAAATTTTATGAAGGAAAAATGTGATTCGGCACTTGTTTTATGATAAATATGTGAATTAGAACACTTTCAAGGTGTTTTAGGAAATATTTGATCAAAATAAACTTCTGAAATCTGGTTTTTTGATCAATTTTGGGCAAATTTCGATGGAAATGAAAATAACAAAAACGGCATAGTTTTGAATTATTATTGATTTCACAGACTTGGGGAGTCCTATTTCAATGTTTTGGAAGTATAGCACTGAATTTTATCAGCTTTCCTGGGTCAAAAATGACGTTTTTGCACAAGCTTATTTTTGAAGAGCTCCTGCTCATTTCATTCTCAACCATTTTTCATGAAACAACTTGGAACAGCTTCAATTTTTCTTCCTCTGTCTTCTCCATACTCGATTTAGTTACAAAAATTCCATTTCCAGCATTTTTCAGCAAGAAAACAAAAGCGCAAAAAAAGATGAGAGAGTGCGGTTTGCTGAAGAGACGGATGAGAGATAGAGAGAAAACGAGAGAGTGTGTGGAGTGTGGAGTGCTGGCGCAATACGCGTTCGGGACACTGCACTCAAAAAATAAAAATAAAATAAAAATAAAATGGCCTAGGATTCCGTCAATTTCCTCGGCCACACATATCAAATCTGCTCTATTGTGATTGCGGGAACTCTAATTTTTCAAACTTGAATATTTTTCCATCAAAAATTGAATCCTCATAGATACGTCAACATCGTTTCCCGAAAGCAATTACATTTGGACCTAAATTCGCAACATCAGGCGAGGAATCAACTAATCTCTTTTTTCTAATTAAAAAGAAAAGCAGCATTCACTAATTCACTATATATTGAATTCTTCAGTTTGTTGTGACACCACACCAATTTCAAAAGACAGGTGTAATTTTTGTGTGGTGGTCAGTTTTGTTTATTCCATTTATTACGAATTTTTGGATTTTGGAGGTGAAAAACATATAATATTTTCTCACACATTCCATCTGAGCTAGATATCACATCAATTTTTCACAGTCCATTAACACCCACTTCCTTTTAGCTTCGTTTTTCCAACCAAAACTCATAATTCTACAAAAATTCAAATTGTTTTTTTTTCTTTAGAGAGTGCAAAATCTAATAGCTTTTCGTCATAATGTGAACAACCCCTCCAAAAATCCAAAAAAGCTATGATTTATTCACACTTCCAAAATCTCCTCGGCGACATTCACTAAAAATATATACTGTAGATTTAGTAGAGCACTTCGATTTATGGGCGGGATCTTCTTTTATTTTTATCTCATCTTGTACTCTTTTTTTCTTCCTTCAAAAATTTTAAATAAAAATTATTTTGATTCAGAAAGCTCTTGGGAAACATGCAATTGATAATTTTGATAATTTCAATTCTCTCAATTTTCATTCATTTTTCATCGTGTCGCGCATTCACCGGCGGAATTGATGGACAATTTGGAAGAATGTATATCAAAAGAGCCGAGTAAGAACATTTTTCGTGGAATTTTTTTCAAATTTTCCTGAAATTCAAATATATTTTTGCAGCTCCGAACTAATGTCGCCACCAAAATATATGCGATATGATGAGTTTTTGAATGGACCTGAAATCTTCAACGAACTTGGAGGAACTGGAAGATTGTCCAATTTGCAACGTCTTGGTTGATAAATATCTCATTAATTTTGATTTACTCTGCATTTTCTTGTTTATTATTCATTTATTTATTACCAAATCAAATCTGAAATAATTTTTTTTCGTTCTAACAATAAGTTGTAATTATTTTGGAAGTGAATCAAGATTGAATAAACCAATTCGTTAATTTATTAGAGCCTTTTGTTGGATTTATTTTCAGGGAAAATTAGAAATGATAGAAAAGAGAAATTAAATTTTAACTCTGGGTCACGCGGATTTTCAGAACAATTGTGTCGAAATTTAAAATATGCGGGATTTAAATTTTGAAAATATTTTTGAAAAATTGGAATTCCTAAAAAAAATCATCCGAATTTTTTAAAAGTTTAAGATTGAATTTCAGGAATTTAATTTTTAATATTTTCACCGTAGCATCTACATTTTCGAAAGTTTTAAGAATTGTTCACAGAAAAAAATATTGAAAATTGGATGTCTGAAAGTCAAAAACATTTTTTCGTTCGACGTACGAGGTTTATCGAGAAATTCATGTATCTCTGGGAATTTCTCAAAATTTGAAACAGTAGATTTTTGTAAATAAAAGTAAAATTTATTAGGAACAATTTTTGGAGATTTTTTTTTATTTTTTCCTAACTTGGGAAAATTTTGAATGAACTTCAGAAATTAATTTTGGATTAAATTTTCGGATGAAAAATTGCTCCAACTGCGAAAATGAGCTTTCGAAAAAAAATCAAGAGGAATATCAGATTTTTTTTTTAAAACAGAATCTACAAAATTAAAATGGGAAAATAAATCTGAAAAATTATCTGTCAAAACTGTTCCAAATTTTAAGAAAATCCGAAAATTTTTGAATTTTTGAGCTGAAATTTCGATTTTTTTGAAAATTCATGCTCAACTCCAATTTCTCAACCGAACTGTTCCCTCGGAAGATTTCCGTCAACAACTTGATTTTTTAATTGCTCAACCCACACATGTTTCATTATCTTTTTTTTGAGTCATGTGACTTTTTTGTTATTTCTGGTCAAGTTTAAATATCAAATATCTCATTTTCGCATTACATCACTATTTTATCACAAAAACTCTAAAATTTCGAAAAATGTGACTATTATGAAATAGAATCCGATGAATTTTATCAAAAAAAATTTATCAGTTTTTGTCATAAAACTTTTATTAGTAAACAACAAGAATGTTTGATCAGATGAAAGAATTTTCTAGATAAATCAGAAATTTTGTTTTTCGATGTTTCTGAGTCAGCAAATATAGAGTTTCACTAATTCGTTATGTCATTTTCCATCAACTGATCGAAACAGGATAAATATTTGAAAACATACTTTTGGCGCCGAAGAATTTAATATTTTTTTGAGAAAAAAATTATTTCGAAAAACAGAATTTTCAAAATTTTAACTTCTGAACTTTCTCTCTGAAATTCTATGATAAAACGCCAACAAAACATATCATTCAATCTTTATTCTATTTTAAATAGTTCATAGTTTCCAATAAAAAAATGTGTTCAACCAGGAAAATGTAAAAAACAAGATACCGGGTGAGGTTTTCCAATAAATATTCTATAATGTACAAAAAAAGAAAACAATGACCCGTAAAATATTAAATCATCTTCTCAATATTTCCCAAAAGAAAATATAAAAGTATCACAAAAATTGAAGAGGATGAAAATCAATTGATAAATAAATTTCAAAAAAAAACGGGAAGGGTACTTATAAAAACCTTTCGAAGGTTGAATAAAAACAAAAAACTCGTAGTGCGATGGCTTCCGAATTCACACAAAACTTAAAGGATATTTCAAAGAAAACCGAAGATACAATTATTATTTGCAAGTAATTTCAAGTGAACTAGCCGAACTTATTGATACAGTATCATCTGAATTATTGCTGCTATGAATTTGTTCATCTTCATCATTTTCATCTTCTTCAACAAACCCCGATTCGGGTGATTCAGCTTCTTCTTCTTCAGTTGTTGGTGGAAATGTTGGTGTATTTATAAGAACTGTTGAAGAGCGAAGACATTCTGGTCGAGAAGAAGAAGAAGTTGAAGAAGTATTTGAGGTAGATGTTGACTCGTCACATTGCTAAAATAAAATAATATTTTTTAATAGAAATTTAATGGGGTTATTCGGATAGAAAAAATTGTTTGAAGGAAAAAATTATTACCTTTTGAGGCGAAAACCGTTTGAATTTCGAAACATCATTTTTCGGAAAATACAATGGATTCTCAATCGAACTTCCAAGTGGAATCGTAACTTCTCGAGTTGGTGTAATTGGTGGAAGAAAACATGGATTTGTAAAAGATGTCAAATCCTCTTTTCCATCGAATGACATTCTCGAAAATTCCGAACTTGGCGATGGCAATTCTTGTCTCAGAGATTGCGATGTTTTCATTGGGAGTCCAAGGGCTCTTGGTCTCAATGGTAATTCAAGAGACATTCCTCGTTTTCCATTTGCATTTACTTGATTTGATGGCTCATCTGATTCAGAATCCGAAGTTTTTTGCTGTTGTTGTTGTGAAACATTTGATGTAAAAGATGGTGAAAAAACACAATGTGATGATGCCGATTTCGGAACTTTTGGTGGGCACAAATCCATATCAGATGACGATGAAAATTGTGGAATATGATGTTCGATTCGATTTGGTCTCGAAGCTTGGCCACTTTTCAAAATATTCTCTTCAATCAATTGATGTTCATATTCCAATAATTGTCCCATAAAATTAAAATTTGGAGAAATCGAAGGTCTTCTTTCTTTAACATATCGATATGCATCATCACTATTTTTGTTCATTGCTCTCATTATATAAGAAATACAAAGAGTTGGAGAGCGCGAAATTCCAGCCAAACAATGAATCAGACATTTTTTACCAGCCAATCGGCATCTCTCTGAAAAAATCGACATTTTAAAGATGGCAATGAAAAATCGGAAAAAAATAATTACCTAAAAAATCAAACGCCACTTGAAAATATGGCAACAATTTCTCTTGATACGAATCATTTACCGGAATTCGCATAAAATTGTTCTCATCTTGTATACAAACACTTTTCGGACAACTGACCGATAAATTGATGACAACTGTGATATCCAAAGCCTGGAAAAACAAGAAACATTGGAAAATAATTATTAATTAGTTTGATCTACCTTCAACATTTGAGCATCCAAACTATCCATTTGACTTCCTAAATATACATTTGGTGTGATTTGGGTGATTCCGTCGCCATTTGGATTTGATAAACATGGCTGAGATAAACTCTGCGGTAATCGGGTCATTCCTTCTGATGATTCACACAATTGAGGATATTGAGTTGCAAAATGTTTATATCCACCTGCAAAAATCGCAATTTTTTGAAAGAAAAATTAAGAGCTTTCTTAATAAATATTAAATAATTTACCATTATGAACAATTTTAGAGAATTTGAGCAAAATTAATTTTTTAGGTATTGTCATGTTGAGTACGAAATAGACAAGATAGTATTCTAATCTATCGCATAAAAAAGGCGGGCACAGATAAAAAAGGAAGTAATTTTGTGATAAGAAAAAGGAAGTGGTGCATTTTAAAAATATGAAATGCTGACAAGAGTTTTGAAATTCACTTCCCCTTTTGAGGGACTTAAAAATGAATAATTCAAAAAACAAGGGCCCCCTTCATACATAAACACATATTTTTCCATTTTCAAACAACAACAAAAAAAACCAAAGTGACAACAATAGAATATGCGCTTTTTCTCTGCGCCTCCATTCCTCGTTTCAATGACACATCGAGCGAAATAGCATTGAGAACTGAGAGAGTGTTAGAGACGCGACCAGGTGATTCCTCTTCTTGTGTTCTCTAACTTTACTCAATGACTCATATTTCTCGAAATCATTTTTTTTTCGGGGTGAAGAGGAATTTGCAAACTTTTTTATCATTTAAAAAAATTTCGTGGAAACATTAAAATTTTTTGCACAAAAAAATTAAATGATAACTTACAATTAATCATTATTGATGACAATTTTAAAATAAGCTAATAGATAAATTAGGTGATTATGAATAAATTATATTATGAGTGTTTTATATATATATATATAGTACTACTACAGAATGCAAAATATTTGATCTGATTTGATTTGGTCTAACAGTGAAGTAGAAAAAAAACGACACACACATACAAAAAATAAGCTCCGCCCAACAGTGTTCGAAATGAATCATCGGATAGAACAAGGAATGAAAGAAAGAAAAAATGAAGAAGAAAAGAAGGTTTTTTTGGAGACCAAAATGATCACACGTGTTTTGACGACGATGACTCAAAATATAATAGTTAGCAAGTATTATTTATTATATGGGTATCTGTTTAGAGGAAAAACAACACATACGTCACATATTTTTTTGTGAAAATTTATCAAAAAATTTGGAAAATGGAGAGGAATTGATAAAACTAGAAAGTGATTCAGTGAATTTGTGTCTCAAGAGGTTATTTCAAATTATTGGAAAATAATGAAAATGGTTTGAGACTCTCAAATTAAGTTATCTACCTTGGGAAAACAATTTGCAGACGACTAAGAAAAAATTCCAGAATCCTAGATCTTTAGGTCTAGAATCTAGACTCTAGATTCTAGGAAATGAGGCCGATTTGAAATTGCTTCGGCACATTTTTTTCAACAATGAAAATAATCAAAATATGAAACCTCGCGGAGAGAAACTGATAAAACCAAAATCAACTGATTCAAATTCCAAACTCACTATTCTCAAATTCCAATTTCTCTTCCATCGCTTCGTGCAATTTCAGCGGAAGTCCCAGTTTAATTTTCAACATTTTCTGCTCATTTTCAATTTTCTCCAAGCGTTCTTTTTCAATTCGAATCTTTCGATTCTTTCGCTTTCTTCGTCGTTTTGCCGTCTTCGATTCTTTTCGATTTTCAACTTTTTCAACCATTTTCATTTCGGGATTCCGATTCAGATTCAGAAGAGGAGAATATTCAGAAGACGTAGAAAATACACGAAGAATAGAAAAAATAAGAGACTAGAAGAAGAAGGAGGAGGAGGAGGAAAATCGAAATTGGAGTTGAGCCAACGGCTAGAGAATGAGAGAGTATGGAAATACGAGAGAGTCGAGAGATGTGCCATTTTTGGTGAATCAATAGACGATGAGACGCAGAGAAAACATGTGGTGTGACTCATTTTGAATTTGCATATTCTGACACTAATTATGAAAACTATTTTAGTTTCTAATTAAAACTTTGAATTCAAATTAAATTAACTCAAAAGGAAATTTTTTTTTTAAAAAGAATCTTGAAAGAATCAAAGAACGTGCAAAATAACTATAATTTGATTGTTATTAGTACTTCAAAATCTACACTTTATCATGAAAAACAAGACACGTGTGTCTGTAATTCCATCAATGAGCTTTAAATATCCAACTGAAAATAATCTTTGAGACGAGCAAAATAACTGTCGAGTGATAATAGATAATTTCGTCGCGAAAAAATGTTGAGTGTGTGCCGACTCATTAAATAAATATTTTTTGGTTGGTGGTTTTTTGATGTGTCACATTTCAGATATCAAATTTTGGAATGGCGGTGAAACACTTTTGATTAGTTATCAGTGAGAAATTTCGAGAAGGGCTTGAGAAATCAGACCAAGTCTGACTGAGCGGTTCAGTGGCAATGGTGGATGCTGTCAATCTCAGGGTCACGGGTTCGATTCCCGGTTCCCGCTCTCAAAAATTCGCCCAGTGGGTAGTTCAGGATTGGATTAGGAAGGGCCGTGATCTGATTCAAAATCTGTTGTCAAAACAGGATTTCTTGAAAATTCTCCAAAAATCAGCTCAAGTCAAGTTCCAAGAAAAAATCAAAATAAATAAAATTTCCTCCTACTTGTTTCTGAAAATCTAATATCCCGGCTGACTCCGCCTTCTCTCTATTTTTTCTCTTATTTTTTTTTGCTTGCTCCTATGAATCATGCTCACTGGTCTGATCACGAAACACTTTTCACCCCAAACGAAAATCTAATAAAAACAAAAACGTGTGTAATAAATAAGATGAAGATGGCAAGAAAAACACAAAAAAAACGAGGAATAAACAACATTTTCCTCATTTTGCTTGCCTGGAAATGACAATCAACCAAGTGTTCTTGACGTACGAAAAAAGCGCGACAAAATGAGAAGAAGAAGAAGAAGACAAAAAACCTCAAGCAAACCAAAAAGCTTTCTTTTTTTTCGAAAAAATTTCATTAGCACTTTCAAGGAGAAGTCGAAAAACATTCGGAAAAGCTGGGTTTTTTGAAGAAAAAAAAAGAGGAGATGCCGTGTTTGTCACTAGAAAAATATTCTTAGGAGATTTGTGTCAAGTGACATTTTTGGGAAAATAAAACTATGTGTTTGTGGAAAAATTGAAAAATTTCTGAGAAAAACGAACCAATATTTGAAAAAACCCCCAGATTTCTAGGTAATACGGTTATAAAGTTACCTACTGTAGCTTCAAAAAAAAATCCCAAATCTTCTCTAAAAACCAACCTTCCAAAACCATAACACTTCTGAATTTTTCAGTTTCTTCCAATCTCTCACGCAAAACTCGCAAAATTTTGGCCGATGATTCAGGTGCATTACAAGACGCGATTCTACAATAAATTTGAATTTTCAGATTTTTTTTCCAGAAGCCTTCTATCTAGTTACCTTCTCTTATTTCCCCTTGGTTTATCCTCTTCCGCATACAATACAATATCAAGTTTTTGTTCCATTTCGTCTCGATTTCCAGAAGAACTCATTAAATGGTGCACGAGACAATTATCGTCGAGCTGCAAAACAATTGTTTTTCAATAAAAAAAATCTCACATGTGAAAAGAAATAAAAAATAATATATTTTTGTTATTCGTTCTCTGAGAAAAGAAAAAAACAGAAAACGAATTCTAAGAAATCTGAAAGAGTTAGTCATATAATTATAGCATATCGTGAGAGCTGAAAATTATATACATTTATTTATTTTTTAAGTTCTCGGAAAAAATAGGACTACTGTAGGGAACATGAATATGAATATTTGATTTATTATTCACAAGTATGTATTTCTGGGAAAAAATGACCATGTGTTGACCAGGCTCCGCCCAGAAACGAAATAAAAAAGCTGGGCTGCTTTTTTGCTGGCTGCGCACATAAAATGAGTCATTCTTTCGGTTTTTATTTCATTCTCACGAAAATTAGTCATAAATGTGATGTGTGTGTAGAAAAAAGAAGCAAAAATAGTGGATTTTCGAAATTTTGGTTATTTGTAATTTCGATGAGTCACAAAGAAAAGATGAGGAAATTTTATTGGGAAATTGAAGAAAATGGAGTTTTCTGGATGGATGAATGGATGAAATTTATCCAAAGGCGAATTTCAGTAGAAAATTTGAGATTAAAAAAAAACACCAGAGAAAATTATTCTGAGAAAAGTTAAGCCTTAGAACATAATCTAACACGTGGTTTCCAATTTGAAGCTAAATACATGCTAAAAAAATGCCAAAATAGCATTTTTAACTGCGGAATTTAAATTTCGGGACCTAAAACGCTTAGGCCTAATTCCTACTCTAACAAAGCTGATAAAGATTTTTCAATTAAAAATCCAGAAAATGTCTGCAACTTTTAAGCTTAAGCCTAATTTTGAGCCTATCAAGTCTAGTGAAAGAGAATTTAACCTAAATTCAACCTAGTAAGCCGAATCCTATCTTCTCTCTCTTTCATAACACCTCTGAAATTAATTAATGTTCACATGTTCTGTAATTATGTAAACAAGATTAGACCAGGATCCAATTACCGCCCTCTTCCTCTTTTCCTTCCCCAAAAAATTAACATATTACTCATTGTGTCCAGAATATTTCGAAATCCATTACTCATACCATATTTCTACAGTAATACTTTTTTATCACACTTACTCACTCACATTTCTCTCTCTCTCTCACACTAAAAGTCATAATCAACTAAAAACCGGTTGATAACTGAATGACTAATTGAATTATGAGTCAAGTTTGCAAAGTTCAAATCGAGACAGACTCCATTATTTATTTCTTTGTTTTAATGCTTTGTTCTACAGAAAATTATCTTTTTTTGGCTGGAAAATGTGTTGTTTTTGTGTATCGAAGAGCAAAAATAAAAATAAGAACCGGGAAAATAATCGTACACCCGAAGCGAAATACTATAAAAAGCGTTTGAGTCAATATTTACGAACGGATCGATCTACATAAACAAAACAACAACAAACATGGGTATTTTGATAACTGAGCGGGGGTGAGAAAGGCTGGTTTGGAATCGAGCCAGGTCCAGATTTTTTCAAAGTTGTCTAGAAACCGACAGACTTATTCTACCTAAAAATCATAAGACCACCTTAGATTATTACAGAAAAAATATGGATCAGGGACCAATTTTTGAACATAGAAATAAATTGGGCTTTTCAAAAAATGTTCCGGATTCGCAGGTCAAGTTCATTGTTTTAAAATGGTTCGATTTCTCAGGAACCCTTTTCCAAGTTCAACTTCATCCAGCTGAAATTGTTTCCAAAAAAATCTGATTCATTTTTTAATCCGATTTGATGCTGATGTTTGAAGCGACTACATTGTAGTGTTCCATTTTCATCACTTCAAAGATAACAGCAAAAAGTCCAGAAAATTTCGTAACTCTGATTAAACATGGTTTCTGTCCAGGATAGAAATTTCACAAATCACACTTTCAACTCGAAAAACTTCAAAATTCATAAAGTTTTTACGTCACAATCGGATCAACCCAAAAATGTATCTCCAAAAGACATTCTCTGTTTTTTGTTTCTTCTTCTGTAGATACAAATGACTAATCAACAAATGATTGGATTTGTTGTGACGTCAATCGGTGATTTTTCAAGTGATCAGAGAAGACGAAAAAAAACGACGGGAGAAAAATCAATATTGGTTGTTTATTTGGAATGTAGTGTAAATAATTGGCAAGGGTGATTTGTAGTTTGAACTATTTGAACTTGGAAATTTCGCAAGTTAGAAGTCACGTGGAGTTTTGAATAGAGAACAATTTGAAATTTGAAAAAGGGGTTGAAATTTTTTCGAAAAATATTTGGATAAAAATTTTGAAATTTTGCTCCGAAAAATTTTACTTTGAAAACTAAAGGCGCGGCGATAATGAAAAATCACATTATTTAGAAACATGAAGCTAAACGTGGAAATTTAGATTTTTTTCAAAACATTTGAACATGCAACTTTTTCGAACAAAAATCAAGCAATCTCCAAATACCCTTTCTCATAATTAGAAAAACGAAACCTTTCAAAAATTTTCCAAAGGCTTCTGAGCACATTGTTTCTATGCTCAAACATCAGATTCGTCATCTACCGTATCCTTTCCCAGAAAAAACTCACCTTATTTTCAAAAAGTCGCCTCCTAATCAATTTGGAAAAAAATGCATTTGTCGATTGTGAGATGTGTGATTCATTGAATTCCGTAAATCCACGACAATCCACAACGAGTGTCGTCTTTTTTGCTTCCCTTAATAATGCTGCCAAACCACACGGTGTTATAATTGTTACTGTGTCCAGCACTGTCATTTCCTGGAAAAAATAAAAATTTGAGAGGAAACGTAATAATTTGAACATCAAACGACTGATGTTTCACAGCGAAAAAAAAATTTAAAAATGACGACATTCAAATTTAAAATTCAAATATTTCAATTCTGTGTTAATTTTGTTATCAAAAATAAGATAAATATTTCAAAATCTACAGTATTCCAATCATAAAACTTTCCAGTCACAATTTATCAAATAAAAAAAGTTTTGGGGCGAAAGTGATGTGATTAAGTTATGTTTTAACATTTATTGATAAAATCGATCGATTTTATTTTAGAAAATCGTATTCAGAACTATGAGAAATATGAGGTAAAAAATAATCTGAAAACCAAATATTTGAGAAAATGAAAAAAAGGTTCTGAAATAGAAATTTGTAGCCGAATAAATACAAAAACCTTTTGGTTTTTAATTAAAAAACGAGGAAGAACAAAAAAATATGAAATTTATCTTCGTCAAGATTTCAGACAATGCGAAAAATGAAATGAAATAAAAATAGTCGGCAATTTTCAAGCAAAAATGAATGACATCATTTTGCAACCAAAAAAAGAACAGTTTCATAATATAAGAGACGCTGAGACAAAAAGAAAAAGATAACATCGAGAAATCGAAATTTTAAAACAGAAAAAAAAACATGGAAGTATTTTTCCAGGCCGCAGAAAATGACGAATTCAAAGATTATCTCTCATATTTCCAGCTATGATATAACTAAAAAATATATATAAGATTTCCTATGTTGGAAATGAATGGCTTCACAAATAAATATATTTATTATAATTTCCGGTCGATGTCGCCTGGAAATTTAAATGTCAAGCTGACATTATCAAAAAATATGAAAATGGAAATCTGCTGAATTTGAAGTAGATCAATTTCAGCTCTTTTTTCACCTGCATAAGGGGAATACTGTAATTTTTTTTGTTTTTGATAAAAAAACATTTGGAAACCTATAAAAAACAGGTGAAAATATAATAATTAATCATAATCATGAAAAAGACCTGATTCTCGAGGAATCACGCCTAGAGAACCGGGCTGGCTAGAATCCTTCTCTAGAGATTGACTCTGGTAAGGAGCCGCGTCTTGAAAACTTCTATGTCAAGTAGGCGACTCTAATAAACCTAGTTGTCAAGTAGTCGCCTCTGGAGAATCTGATTGTTTAGGACACAGAGAGCTTACAATTAGTTCTGAAGATGACGCGCCTAAAAAGCCAAAAAAATCCTAGGTAGTGTTCAAAAAAAATCATCATCATGTTTTTCTCACGAAAAAAAATTTCAGCTCATTTTTAAGTCATCATTTATAAGCGTCTTGATCCATCAGAATATTAAATGAAATGTTGGTTGCAAAATGAATAACCAAGCAAGCGGTTAGTTATTTTTAGCCAAGATTTTCTTTTTTTTTCGAACGCTGTTATTAAAATGATGTCAAGCAGAAGAAAGAAAAGAACATAGATGATTTCATAATTTTTTCTTTTTTTTTTACGAAACAGCAGCCACCAGCAGATGTTTAGAATTCGTATGAATAAGCAAATAAACGTGAGTATTCTGGTGTTTCGAAATACACCACCAAAAAAAAAGGGGGAAAGGAAAATTGGTGGGTATTTTGAAATAATTCGGAATCAAGTATAATAAAACGGGGGGACAAGGGGGAGTTTTGGGAACCGGTTGAAAAATCGGCGGGTATTTTCAAAAATCAAAAAGATATGACTTCTTCTAAAAATAAGTTTTTCAAAATCTTGAGTAATGATGGCGATTTTTCAGATTTCGAAATTTTCTCTCTGATAATTTTCGGATCCAAAGTTTCTCAACAAAAAAATTATTGGGCCAAAAATTGTCGATTTTCCGAACTCAAAAAAAACACAAAATTTCAGTCAGTTCCAAAAAAGCTCTCCTAATAAGTATCTATGATTCAAGTTTTGAAAAAAATCTACTGACATATTCGAAACGAGAATAATAAAAACGATAAAACCTATCATTACCCAAGAAATTAAAAGAGATACTGTAACTAATTCCCAAATAACGTCATATTTTTTTTGAAAATTGAAATTGACATGGAAAAACTAGTTTTTCTATTTTTTTTTCAAAATAGAAGAGTGACGACGAAATTTTTACATTAGGGCGGTGGAGATTATTCAGCTCGGATTTGACAGATTTGTGATCTTTTATGATTAGAATTTCAAAATGGCAGGAAGAATTTGAAATGTGAACTGATTAAAAATTCTGATGTGAGGCTTTCAGGAAAGTGTCTAGGTTTTCTGGGAAAAATTGAAGTCGACAGTCGAGAAAAATAAAATAAGAAGATAAACAATGATTCGTGGAACTAAAGAAATTCAAACAGAAAAAATCATGACATATATAATTGTCACTATTTTGTTTCTCCTCGGAAAAAAATCATCATAATTGGCAGAAAGGCAGAAAAAAATATGACGTATAAAAATATAAGTGTCTCCTCCCTCTCTCTCCCTCTTCTTACTACAAGCCTAGCCAAAAAGTTTCGTCACTCGTTTTTTTCAGCTCAAGGAGAAATATCAGGCGAATTGGAGAGAGTGCAGAAAAAGAAAATCTTCAGAGAAATATTCAGTGACTGAGAGAAAACGACAAAGTGTGACGAAATAAATAGGAGACAAACGGACGGAAAAATGAAAGAAGAAAAACCCGACGTTCGTGGAAAAACCCGAGGATGAAAAAAAAAAACATATTTTTTCTGTTTTTGAAAAAATACGCTTTGATGTGAGTTCAAATTTTTTTGCCTTTTAGGGTCTCATCATTTTCAAAACGAAAAAAAAACTTTCGAAAGTGACGTACTCAAATCCAATTTTTAATATTGAATAGGAAGGAGGAAAATACGTTTCCTGTGAAAACGGAAGAAGGACTTCGAATTCGTCATTTTAGGGAAACGAAAAATAAGAAATTATCCGCGGCATCGAATTACAGAACATTGAACTTCTCATGTGAGCAAGTTCGAAAGAATATTTGATACATTGAAAAGATCTGCTATATTTCAGCTTTTGATAAAAATCTGACATCAAATTTTACACTAAAAGTACAATATCTGAAAACTCTCGAGAGATGTGAAAATGTTATTACGAAATTTGAGAATGGTTAAGTTTAATTAATTAGGCCCAAATTCTAGAATGTCCCAAATGGAACCAGAATGTCTATGATTTTTCTGGATAGAATTGGGCCTCAAAATCGGTTTTATTTTTTATGAAGAGAATTGTTTCGACTTACAGCTCTCTGATGGATTATATGTTTTCTAGCTGTTTTCAACACGCTGATCACGATAACGTTGTCGAAAACTGTAAAACTCAACTTCTAGGATGAGTTATGACGTGGAAAAGTTGAAAAATTTCAAAATTGAAACTTTAGGAGGTTAAAACTAGTTTTGATGATAATCTAATAGCGCTCTTCCTAATGTCTTAATTTTTCAAAATTTTCCAACTTTGCCACGTCACAACTAATATTAGTAGTTGAGAATTGTATTTTCTGACAAAGGGCTCGTGATCAGTAGGTCGAAAAGCACTAGAAAACATATATTTCATTCAAGATTTCGGTTTCAAGTTGAAACAACTTCTATCTTTGTGAAAAGCAGGTCCGATCATTTGAACCTGACCCGATAATTAAAAAAAAACACCCCATCATTACCCTGATAAACTATTACCCAGCTATAGACATTTTGGAGTCAACTAACCTCAGAACTAATTATTCTCTGCCATTTCCATCGTTTACCTTTCGAGAAATAACAAAAAAATGATATCAGAGCGTTTCATTTAAAAGGTCACGTATTTCATTATTATTTTTTTATTTTTCATCAAAATACGTGAGTTTTTTTTCGAGAGGAACTAATTTGTTCTTACTAACAATAAAACCAACTAAAAAAAAAACAACAACAGTTGATACTCATTTCAAAAAAAAAATATCTAAAAATAACCACATATTTATACTCAACTTGAGAACAAAGAAAAGCAAAAGAATTTGCAGTGTCACGAAAAATAGGGCGATAAAAACCTTAAAGTTATCTATTATTTTAAACGAGCAAAAATTATTTGATAAATATAATTTTTGAAACGTCACAAATTTGATGGGTGTTTCCACAATCAAGTTTTCTCTAATGTTGAATTGAATGAAAATAGCATTTGAAAAAAAAAATGTTTTGTTTTCAACATGTGCCACAAAAGATAAACAATTTCCTAATTTTATATTTTGGACGAATTCAATTTTTTTGAAATAAAATTATCAATGTTTTTTTTGTTTTCAATTTTTATAAAACAAGTTTTGTTTCAAATGAAAATTTAAAAAACTTACTCGAAGCATAGCTTCAGCTTTTCTCAAATTTGCCTCCAGTTTGTGATATTTTCGTTTGTCGTCGGAATATTCCTTTTTCCTCGAAATAATACTTTCTTTACTGTAGATCTTCTCGATTCTACAGTAACCCAGACGACATTTTTATTTTGATTTTCAAAAATTTATTCTGGCCTGCAAAAATAGAAAATATTTACTTTTAGTGTTTCTATTTTCATACATGCGTTGTGGAACAAAAAAAAAGAAAAAAGAAAATAAACAAAAACATGTTTTTTTTCATTGGATGAGAATCTAAATTTTGGAAGTCAACGATGAATGAAATGATAAGAGACAAAAAAGAAATGGAAACGTCATTCGGAGAACAAAAAAACGAATTGAATTGATATGATTTTTGTCGAGTTTTTTTTCAGACTCGTGTTAATTGGAACAAAAATTCTTGAGACTAAACACAAGGGAATTAAAGAAAAAGAGACTGTTATTTTGGAATTTGATTTGAGTTCTGCGAACTATTTAAAAATATCTCGACGAAATCTAATCTGATTCAAGTATCTATGAATTCACAATCTAGGATGAGGAGGATCAAACTATATACAGTTAAAGTGTAGTGTCAAAGGGGAATGGTTAAAAACAAATCAACCAATCACAATAACATACAAAGATCAAAATTTGACAAAAGAAAGAATCGAAAAAAAAACAAGAATCTTAAAAAGAATAAGAAGAAAAAGAGAAAAGAAGAATAAAAATCGTCGTCATTGGTCGGTTCTTCTATTTGTGCCTACGGTCGTTTTTCATCGCGCATATTTCATACGTCACTTGGTGGCGAAATAGTACACAGTGTTAATTGAGACGCAGACAATTCGTCGATAGTTGTATGATTGTCTGTGTCTCGCAATTTATTGTATGGTTTTTTGTAAATAAAATGATGTTGATGAGAGAGTTGAACATCACAGAGACACAGAATCGATGAGAATGTGTACATTTGAATGAATCGATTCGATTGCGAAATTCGTTTGGGGCCGGCCGGCCAGGTGAAACCAAACGTCAATACATTTTTGTGAGAAAGAGTCAATCAACAATAAAAATGAGGAATAGGGGTCAATTTGTCCAAATTTCTTTGGAATTCGAATTTAAATTCAGAAAATTGTTAAGTATCTTGCAAGATACATTAAAAGTATAAAAAACACTCTAGTAATACCTAAGTACTATGCTCAAAACAACCAAAAACTTCCAAAAAAAACAAAAATAATTTTTTTTCGGTGTGAAATAAGTGAAAACATCAAACGCGCCCCACCGCACTCCATTTTTCATTTTATTTTTTTCAAACCCGAATTTTTTCCAGATCGAAATTGTTTGTCTCAAAGAGCATCAATTCGGCATTTTCTCCCTTTAATTAATATATTTATTTATACCTGACAATATAATTGTGCTCAACATAAGTAGTAATTTTGTTTCGATAAATAATATAGGGTTTGAGTTAATCCAAGATGAAGGGGATAGAAGAAAAGGTGGATATAATTATAGGATGAGAATTGTTTATAGCCTTACCAGGTGTATCTTTAGGCTGGCACTAACGATTTCAAGAAGTATGAAAATTTCAAACGTATTTTAGAAAAACTTAAAACTTCTGAAGAGAAAATCTGGCGGAAACAACAAAAACAACAAAATGTTCAACATTTTTATTTCTTTTCTCATTTTAATTAAAATTAATTAATATTTATGTTTGTTAGACAATTATTTTTTCCGCTTCAGCGCGAAGTTCTTCGATTCGATTTCCAGTTATTGAAAGGTTCGCACATTTCTAAAAAAAAATACTTTTTCAAAGTGTTTTTCTTTTTTAAACTCACAATTATCAATTGATGACAATAAAGTGAACATTTTGATGTTCCAATCGATTGAATTATTGTTAAAATTTGATCAATTGATTTAGCTTCAGATATTTGATTTGCAACAGATCGAAATAAGATAATTGAAACTTTGAAAAGCCAAACATCTCCTTCATAAATCAGGCAATCCCATATTCGAAGAACTGTCTGCAAAATTCATTCAGAAATTATTTAAACCCGAATTAATCTCACTTCTAATGGCAAACTTTCAACAAACATGCACAAAAACCATTTTCCAATCAACAATTCCAATCCAATATCCGATTTCTCCAAAACCACAATAATTCTCGGACAAAATTCTCGCATCAAAATATGCAAAACATATAAATCTCGCCTCAATCCAATCATATTATGTCCATAATAATCTTTACGTTGCGAAATCAAATGAATAAACAAATCAATTGATTTTTGCTCGTCATTTATTACCAGAAGAATAATACCCGCTACAAAATTGAGACCTTGACAATAACCGATTGAAGGAATGTGTTCGGCAAGTGCAAAAAGTGCGCGACCCAATACTTTTTGAGTTCTGAAATTAAATAGAAACAAAAATTAGGTTGAGTATAAGATTTCCTGATTTATGAAGGAGATATTTGGCTTTTAAAACTTTCAATTTTTTTTTTAAGATTTTTGGTAAAATGAGGAACACTTTGAGAAATTAATATTTTTAGGAATATGCAAAAATTTACTTGAAAAAGTATGCCTTACTTTTCATTTTTCAAAAATCGATTATCTGGAAATGTTCGCGGCAAATCCAATCGAATCGCTTTCACAACATCATCCGGAACTTCAAATTTCTCATTTGGCCGCGCTGGACAATTTCGAAGCCATAAATCTTTTCGATAAATATGTGGAATTCCTTTTCGAACAAATCGTTGGACTAAAAAATCAGAAGGTCATGATGAGAATTTGATTTCTCCAGAACTCACGAAGATGAATATTTGATCTCGGATTTTCTTTTTCCCATCGACTTCTTCTTCTCACAACAATTGGCAAATAACTTGCATACCAATCTTCATAATTTTGTCGAGTTTCGGATTTTTCGTATTGCGACCAAGGCCGAATGAAACCAAGATCATCGATGTCGCTGAAAAAATGCTGATTTTAGGTAAGGAAATCCAGGAGCGGTATTTTCTGGGTTTGACAAAGGTTGTTAAAATTTCATTTTTTTTTTCTCAATTTTTCACTAAAAATTCCGATCCCTTTTCTATATTTCAGACGAAAAAGTGCATTTTCAAAATTTTATTTTAGAAAAATTTCGGCGCTTTCTGCAATAAAACTATAAGCTCATCCCTCAAATCTAGATTTAAAAATTCATTTTTTGACGTAAAAATACTTATAAAAATAACATTGAATTGGAATTTATCAAAAAATAAATGAAATTTGTAAATTTATGAAAACTTACAGCATTTTCCGTTTAATTTTCTTTCAAAAAAAAAATAAAAATAAATTGTGTGACTCACCAAGAATGAGCCAATGAATTGCTGCTCTTATCACTGAAAAATCTCTCAAAAACTCTCATGTTGTTTTTTGAGAACAAAAATTCGGAGAGAAAAATTGACTGATTTATATTGTTTATATTAATGTATTCAATGTCTGTTGGGGGCGTAATTTATAAATTCGATAAATGATATTCTCAATTTTCAAACAAAAAAAATCTATCAATTTTTTTTGCAAAAATTTTTGCTCACCTTCCAGGCGGACCCGTAAAATGCCATATTTCCATTTGAAATCAAATCTGAATTTAAAAATTTCAAATATTTTTTGCCAAAAATATTTTTTTTTCGAAAAAAAAAAAGGACAAAAGCATAAAAAATAGTGAGAGTTTTTGGCAAATAAAAAATGCCTTTATCGATTTTTATTGTGATCGAATAGTTTATAAATACAAGACTTGGTATAAATATAAAACATTTTTTATTGCAGTTACGTTATTTTTCATATACATTCAACATAAAATATCCATGAGATATTAGAAAAAAAAAAACAAAAAAAACGGAAGAGAAAAAAGAAACATTGGAATGAGAAAAGAGGGAAAAAATTATACACACGATTTGAAAACGAGAAAAAAAGCCCAAAAAATGCTTGTATGAAACAGGGTAAAATATAACATAAAATTCCTGATTTTGATTTTAGTTGGTTTTTTTGCGAGACAAAAAAAGATTAGTCGGAGTCAAAAAAAAAAGAGGCAGAAAAACAGAGAGGAAAGAGAAAATACACCGGTAATTCAGAAAATGTACGTGTTATTTTGGGGTTAATAGTAAAAAACTAATTAATAATAACAATAATATTAAAATTATTGATTTGGTCTCATTAGTGATTCATCTTGAAGTCTTCGCATCATTTCAGAATGTGGTTGTTGTTGTTGCTGCTGCTGCTGTTGTTGTTGCTGCATTTGCTGCATGAATTGAGCCATAATTTGTGGATTCTGCATAAGAAGTGGATTTTGAATCATCTGCAACATCATTTGTTGCTGCTGCTGTTGATGATGCTGCATTTCAATTTGTTGAAGATGCTGAAAAATATTTTTTTTTGAATTTTTATTTTATTTTAATTTCAAGGACACAACTGAAAGGGTTTATTTTGAAAAGTAAGATTTTAATGAAAAGGTTCTAAAGCGGTATTCAAAACAATTTCATTCAATGAAACTTTTTCAACATTTTTTGAATACCCTATTTTCACACCCGGACAAAGAGTGTTCAAAAATATTTGTAGAACGTTTTTTTCGAGAATTTTTTGGAAATCAATGAAAACCACACTTTTTGGTTAGAAAAATACGGAAATTTGTAGATTTCCACGTCTCTCCAGATGTGATTTTTTATATTTTAACTATAATTTCAGTGTACCCGAATCAAAAAATAAATAAACTTACATTTGCCTGCTGTTGTTGCTCCCTCTGTTCACGTTGCCTTTGTTGCGCAGCTTGAGCTTGAGCCTGAACTTGCGCCTGAACTTGTGCTTGATGTTGCTGCTCAAATAATCGTTGAACATCAATTCCAGCGGCTCCATTACTAAAAAGACTATTCAAGAATGCAGCATGTTGTTGTTGCTGCTGCTGTTGTTGTTGTGCTGCAGCAGCTTGTGCAGCTTGTGCAGCGGCGGCTTGTGCTGCAGCTTGTTGAGCAGCTTGCTGTTGAGCAATTCTTTCCCGCTCCCTCTGCTCTCGTTCACGCTGTTCACGTTCTCGTTGTTGCTGCGCGGCTTGTTGTTGTGCAGCAGCAGCTTGTTGTTGAGCTGCAGCTTGTGCAGCCGCAAGTTGCATCATTCGATTTTGTTGCATTAATTCATACATTTTATGTTGTTCCATCTGCATCATAGCATGCATCAAATAATCCATATTTGGTTGCTGCGGTTGTTGCTGAGATTGTTGTTGTTGCTGCTGCTGCTGCTGCTGCTGTTGAGCTTGCTGCTGACTCGCAGCAACTGCAGCCAATAATTGTGGCGGGATACCAAGTGCAGCCGCAGCCTGTGGATTCATCGCAATCTGCGGATGATTCATTAAAGCAGCAAGTTGTGGTGGAATACCATTCGCTTGAAAATATGCCATTTGTTGCTGCTGTTGTTGCTGCTGATCTTTTTTCATCGAACTATTATTAATTGTTTGTTGAATTTGTGCTTGTTGTTGTTGTTGAGCTAATTGTTGAGCAGCTTTCTTTTCCTGTTTCTGCTTCAAACTATTATCCCAATTCGATCCTTCTTTGAATTTAAAACACAAATCAGTTCTCGAACTTCTTGGTCCACAAGATCGAATAAATGATCGAATAAACGCCGCATTTTTCGTCTCAAATTCAATAACTGTTCCACTTTCATATGTATCATTTGGATCATCAGGTTTAACATCTTCTTCATCTTCCTCTTCTAATTTCGAAGTACTTGCCACAACATTTCCATTCATATTTACAGACTTCTGAAAAAAAACCTTGTTTTGATGATTTTCTATATATATATATATATAATAAAATGCTATAGGGATTGGTGTCTAATTATTTGTGTGACAAAATCGAACGAGCTCGTGATAATAAGCAGGTTTGCAAAAAGGTAACCAACAATTACTGAATCGGACATCCAATATTATAATTAAAGTGAACTACCGAAAATATTGAAAAATATATATTTACCTCATCTCCATTTCCATTTACTAACAACGAATGTCCATTGATTTTATTGGTCTTATCATCTTCATCCGCAACTTCTTCCTTTTTCATAACCACTTTTCCATTCGTTATCACTTTTTTGGCCTTTAGTTGATCTTCTGTATCATCACAATCTTCATCGATTGTCATTTTTCCGTCCGATTCGTCATCATCATATTCGTCTTCCTGCAAAACAATAGAACTTATTGTTGAAAATAAATAAAAATGTTTCAAAATATTTAGAAAATATAAAAGAAACTCACAAGTTTCGCCTTTTTCGAAATCGATTCTCCGTTCGAATTTCCATTCAAATGATGATTCGGCGGACTTGCAGATGGCGACGGCTCATTTGAGTTCGAACAACTCGCATTTTGCGCTGCAGCAGATGCAGCCGCATTTGTTGCAGCAGCATAATGCAGTGGTCTTTTCGCATTTCGTTTATGCGTTGAACCATTTGTACGTTTCGACGGCGAAGATTCGTCAGACGGTGTAAGAGCATGAGCTGGCGATCGAGTTCGATCCGGAGTTTTTTCACTCATAGCAGAAGGAGTTCTGAAAAAATTCAACATTTTTTTCCAGAAGAAAAAAAAAGAGCAGGTATTATGAAACCCAATAAAAAACCCGAATAACCAACATAAATAATACAACAAAAAAAAGAGTAAAGTGGTATGTGTACAAGAAAAAACACACACAAAAAGTAAGTGGTCTCACGAGGTGGGAGAGAGGCAGGAAATAGTAAATGAAGGGGTGTCAATATATATCTAACACAAGAGAAAATAGAAGAAGACGGAAAAAAAATAAGAACAGAAGGAAAGAAGAAGAAGGAGAAAGCTAGAACAAGAAGAAATGGGCGGAGCTTCGGGGTTCACTTGTTGCACCTGCACCTGCACTTTTCGGGGGCGAACCTTTTGAAACCAAATATAAATCGATACTTTTTATCAACATCATCATTAAAAATAATTACTACCATAAATACTATTATTATTTTTTTCTCTCCTTTCATCATTTGAAAAATGTTGTTTGCTAGAGGGAAAGTGTGTATCTAATTGATAAAAAAATTTGATGACGATGTGATAAGAACAATAATATCTGACAGGTTGGGTTAAAAAGTAAGGTTACCCACCAGAGAAAAAAGGGCGTGGTCAGCAGAAAAAAACTAAAAAAACATACCGTTTTCTCTGTTCCTTCTTTCCAGCTCTTGTCCGAACTCCAGATTCCTCTTCGTCTCCACTATTTGATCGTTTAAAAAGACAGGCTGGCACTTGTGTTGGACGATTCGCAATATGACGAAGTTGACCATATTTTTTATAATACACTCGACAATCAGTACACAGCATAAGCGTGTTGGCGTGATGCCAATCTTTCGACTCTAAAAAAACACACACATTTTTGTGATAAGAAGAAGAAGAAGAAAAACGTTTTATGATGCTTTTTGCACACGGGTCAAATAAAGATAATGTTGCCAAAAATGTTCATTTTATTGCGAACACATAGTCCCATGATTTGGATGAAAAAAATAGAAATTTCAATTTTTTTGCGCAAAAATTTTTGAATTAAAATATTGTCACGTGGATTTTTTGGTGCTAAAAAATTGATATTTCATTTTGAATTTTTAATTCTAGGATTTTCAGCTGAAAAACTGAATTTCGAAATTTCCATCCTCCGTCTTTTCTTCCCGATTATGGTGTGCTAGATCATGTTCCAAAATGAAGCTAATTTTTCTGTTCCGTAAACCCGGGGGACTTATTTCGTGTATAATGTGTAAGATGCACTTTTGCTCGAAAAATCATCATAATACAAGGGCAGATTCATGAGAATTGTATATAATTTTTTGTCGCCGTCTAGTTACAATTCATATTATTATTTTTTAGTCGAGAAAAACACAGCGGGGTAGAAAATGAAAATGAACTATTTGGAGAATTTTAGGTGGAAAAAATTGGATAAAGGGGATTTCGAAAATTCTTACTAATCAAATTAGCCACGTGTTTTTTTTTTAAATTAAAAATGTTTCAAGAACAAAAAAACTCACGAGTCCCATAACAATGATGACAGGCGCGTCCGGACGGTCCATTATTTTCGACGTCGGATTCGCTTGCCGAATCAAAATCGAGATATTCAGTCGATGCTGGCCGCGACACTTTTGGCTTATCGGTTTTTGGCCGTTTAATTGATGTTGGATTCGCGCGACGCGCTTGAACTTTGGGTTTTGTCGCTTCCGGCGTTTTCTTCCACAAATAATAATAAGCGACGAGTTGTTCCTGCAAATATTTTATTCATTTTTGTTTATGTGTTGTTATATATCTTCTAGTTATTTTTCCGAAAATGAATTTATGTATTTGCAGAGAGTGTGATTTTGAAATGAAATGAAATGTTGATTCGTTAATCGAATAACGTTAATTTCTATGTGAAAATGTTCAATTTCATGATTTAATTATAAAAAATGGAAATCAGAAAAATGGGGGAAAAATACGAACCCTTGGATGTGTTGGCAACAATTCTCGATGAATTCTTGTAAAATTCTTGCCCAACGATTTGATGCCTTTCGCAAATTTCTTCGCATCTTCCTGACTCATATAATCAATATCCGGCGCAAGAATCGCATCATTCATTGTCAATTCATTCAATGCTTCATCCGGTTGATACCCGCTTCGATGTAGTTGACAAATCGCCTCATGCGTCAACAAATCGCTTGCCTGAGGCTTTATAAATAGAAATTAGGCTCGGGGATTTGAAGCATGCAAAAGTGTGGGGGGACAAGAAAAATGTGTGTGAGGCTCACGAGGTGAGGTGACTCGAAACTATGTAAAAACTCACCCGTGTTTTCTTTTGTGCACCTAATGCACCAGTTTCAGTCATTGTAAATGTTCTAAAACTTCTTGCAAATTCTAAATACTCCGTTTCTTCTGTCTCTCCAAGACAACCCGGTTTATAAACCAATTCATCGCGATCGTGCTCTTCTCCAACTGAACATTTTGGTTCTGGAGGAAGTGTCGCCTGCAAAAATTTTTTTATAGAATGTTCAGAAAATTTTTTCAAAAGCCCAGGGTGGTCCGAGTCCGATTTGAAAGAAAAGCTCATAGATTTCAAAAATTGAGCCCATTCTAATTTTTTTTCTGAATTCAAAATTTAAAAAGCCAAGATCCCCAAGATTTTCCCCAGCTCACCTGAAACGCGTTTCCGACCCGAATTTGAAAATGTGTGTACGCCAGCCTTGTTGTCTCCTGATTAAACGTCAAACAGTAGAAGAATGTGTCGTTGTCGAGCGAAAAATCGGCAACAGTGCGTGCCGATCGAATATCGTTCACAAATTCCACACTACACTTTCCTCTGAAAAATCACTTTGTTTATGATAGAAATTTTGTTTGGAGAAATTTCAAATTTTTGCAAAAGTCCAAAACAACAATTTTGTTGCCGAGAGCAAGTAACTCAATAAAAAAACGGAAGAAAATCGAAGAGGAAAAAAAGAAGAAAAAGACGAAGAAAGTGACGCGTTTGAAAGGAAATGAGCAAAAAACGGAGAAGAAGACGAATAAACTATGAAATGTTGTCAATTTTTACTAGAGATTAGAAATATTGGATTGTCCAGAGAAAAAGATTAGGAAAAAGTCGCATATTATTCTAATGGGCCCTATGCAGATTAAAATTTTATTTTAAACAAATGTAGAAAAAATTGATCAGAAAATTAATTTTTCTCTAGACTCTCACAAATTTACATTGACACCTAATATTAACCAAATAAATAATTAATTCTAAAGTTCAAAAAATACGTCAAACTAGAGTCTAAAAATATTCCTGCATAATATATCGCTATCAAGAATAAATAATATTTTCTATTTGAAAAAAAACCAAAATTTTCTCTCTCTAAACGAAAAAGATAAAACTATATAATGGTCAATTCTGCGACTAGAAAACCGAAAAAATTGGCATTTTGCCCAACAATAGAACAAGGAAAGAGAATATTGTTTGTGATGTGGTGAAACATGTATACATAGAGAGTGAGCGAGAAAAGGAGACTCTTTCGCTTTTTTCAAAGAAGAATCATATGACAAGAGAAAAGGAGAGCACCAGACGACAAAATGACAAACTATTACGACGAATGAATGAAAAATATATAAGTGAACAAAAAAAAAAGAAGAAGAAAAGAGGCGGCAAAAATAAATGTGGATTTGTGTGTGTGTTGAAAAAGTTCAGATAAAAAAAAAGTTGTGTAAGCAAAGACCAGGTGTCAGAAGAAGCACATGTGGAATCAGATATTTTTTTTGTTGGAAAAAAGTTCAAAAATAATTTCGCCTCCGAAACATATAAAACAGGAAGGAAGGAAGGAAATGGCCCATTTATGACCTTTTTTGAGCGCGCGGCGGCGACAACAAAAAACCAGAGAGAAAAAAGGAATAAAATTTGTGTGGTTTTTTTCAGATTGGCAGGTGTTCCTAATAAAGACTAATTTTTCTCTGAAACTACGTAATTGGCAGATGAAAAACTATAAACCTGAGAAAAAACATTCCAAAAAATTTAGCGAGATGAAACTAACTCTGCGTCTCTTCCCCACATTTCTCCATCTTTCTCCTCATAAACAAACATAAAGTGATGTGGAAGTGGAGCAAAAAAAAAAGAAGGCTTGGCTCTCAAAACAAGAAAAGATCACAGAATAATTCATGACACGTTTGTTTTGTGGTTAATTAAAGAATTTCAGAAGATTTGAAAAATTATTGAATATTTTCAAAAACAAAACAATCTCATCTTCCTGCCGCATAAATTCTATTTACTTTTTGAATCTAATTTCATTCAGAATCTCTCCGGAGAAGAAGGAAATTCAATTTGTTGTTGTCTCTACACATACAAAAAAAGCAGCCTATAAATCGGGCAAGTTCAAACTAACCTTAGGGTTGAAACTGATGGTTGAAGTGTGTTGTCCGAATAAAACAATTCGCGATTCAATGATGCCTGAAAAAAAACACAATATAAATTTCATACGTTATGGCCAAATTTTTTATATATTTTATTGGAAAGGCAACCATTTTATGTTCTATATAGAGAACAATTTATTGTTGATTTTATTGTTGGAAACAGAAAAAAAAGATGGGAATACATTAAACATTCTGCGGAACTTATTAGAACCGAAAAATCTCACAACTAATGTTTTTCCTTTGCACCTGTTCTAATAAAAAAACTTCCCCCAGATTATGTTTTCTGATCTTCCAAAAAAAATATATGAAATGAATAACTAATCTCTCACTAATCCGATTCCGTTCCGTGGTAAATAAATTGCAACTTTTCTCTTGTGTTAGTCATTTGATTTTTAGTCTCTTCTAATTTATCCGCATAGAATCGAATTTGAATGAATCCTAATAAAACCTCTCTCACACATGTTTCATTCATTCTCAAACATATTAATTTCTTCCCCTCGGTTTTCCCGTAATCTCTCAAGTCAATCAATTCTCTTTTCTCCTCCCTCTTCTCTTTTTCTCCACACTCCCCATCGAATAAAAACCCATAAATCACAATAAATCTGTTAGCCTTTTCGCTGGCCAAAAAAAAAACATGGGTGAAGAAAAAAAAACTTACTGGACACAAATTTGGATTAATATTCAACTCGGCACGTTCTTGTTTCATCAGTGTTAGTGACATTTCAGGTATATCATCGGCGCGGTAGAAGCGTGTTAGTTTGACTTGAATTTCACGTTTTGTCTGGAAAAATATTGAGATTGAGGAAAGGGAATAAATGAGAAAGGGGAAGGTCATCAACACCGAAAAATATTCCTTTCTAGATATTATTTTTTTAGACAATTGAAAAAGATTAGAAATCAAACCAGAACAATTCTGCATTTCTTTTCCCAACTGAGATTTAAGCTGGTCCCTAAACATTCCCCATCCATATTCATAACCCAAAATCCTGCAGGTAAACCAAAAAATTAAACCTATTGCTCCTAATTATCCCCCCAAATTGGTCCCTTTTCCTCTTATTCTTCCAATTTCCTCTAATATATATACACACACAACATATATATAATTTGGTTGTTTCGTTCCTCCTCCTTCTCTCGTTTTTTGCTTCTACTACTGACTGACGACGAGCGATGTCTTCTTCTTCTTCTTCTTTCCTTTAAAGTGTCGTCCGCAAACTAAGAAAAAACACGAAAGATGGAAAAAACAATTGAACTACTACACACACAACTATTACTACATCTTTCCAATTTCTTGCGAGCGGCGCGACAAACTTGTTTCAATTGTTCACAATTTTGTTCTCGCGTCGGTTCTCCGAAGATTATGTAAACTAGTCACCTGGCTGTTCAGTTTCTGACCAATTTTTCCAGTTGTTTTCAGTCAATTCTATAATTGTCTATATGTAGTTTCTTCTAGCCCCAAGAGACCTTTCAATCTCGATTCGATTCGTCGTTCTTTTTTCGAGTATATCAAATTTCATCCGCCAACCAACACAAAAGAAGGCAAAAAACTTATTTTTTTTTTGCTGCTTTCTGCCGCAATTTCCAAAATCATAACAACCGAAACGAAGTACTTCAGTGTTCGTACCAAGTACATGATAACAACGACCAAAATTATTATGACACACAAACTTTTTTCTCGTTCGCCATTTTATATATAAATAATTGGAATTCTCTCATTCTCTCTTTTTCAAAAACTGATAAGACTTTTAACAACGCTGCCTGCGAAGACAAAAAAGTTCCGAGAAAAAAGCGAACGGAGAAAAAATGCGCGAAAGGAAAGGATGAAGCTCAATGACCATGCTCCGCCTCTCATTTTTTATTCTTCTTTATTCTTTTCAATAATTTCCTGCCTGCTCAAAGTACATAATCGTTTGTGTATATGATTCGCACTAGCAAGCAGCAGCTGCAGGTGTTCGGAAAAACACAAAAAAAAGAAGGAGGAGAAGAGAGAAATGACTGACCAGAACGAGAGAACGAAAATATGTGAAAAGGCGTGATTCTTCTTTGATTTGTGAACTAGTTCAGGGATTAAATAAATTATTATTATTATTATATAATACAATTTTTAGAGGTCAAATTGACAAGGAAACAATTTTAAGTTGCAATCGAGAATTTTGATGAAATATGTTTTCTAGTAGTTTCTGATCTTCTGATCACGATATCGTCGTCAAAAACTGAAAATCTCAACTCCTGATATGAGTTATGACGTGGCAACATTCGTTACTTCAGGAGACTATAACTAGCTTCCAAGTAAACTTATGTTGTAATTTTTTGAAATGTGTTTGCCACGTCATAGCTTATATTAGAATTAGAATTTTGCAGACCTGTCGTTTTGCGGCTATTTGCGGCCCTCGGGCCAGCCATGTGAAGGGCTGGGCTAGCCAGCCCAAATAGGGAAAATGGGCTGGCGCAGCCCGGCCTTTCCAACAAATTTTATTGTGTAAACGCACTATTTTTCAATGGTGTTTCTTTCGAATTTTTGCATTTTGGCGGAAGAAAATTGCCGTATTTCGTGTTTCTAATGGTGGATTGATAATAGAAGTAAAATTTATTGAAATTCATGTGTTTCACCATTACGATCCTGCACCAAAACAGTACTTCGAAGAAATATTGGTGCACTAACACCAATATAAGTTATTCTGATTTACGAAATTCGCCCAAATGCAGAAAATTTGAGCAAAATCATCCATTTGTAAAAATCCCGAATTGTCATCAAAAAATTATGAAGGGCCGAAAAAAGGGCTGAAACAGCCTCTCATAAAAAAAGAAGGGCCGAAGGGCCGAAAAAAGCCCGCATTTTTTGAATTTTGAAGGGCTGGCCCGGCCCGGCCGCCAGAAAACGACAGGTCTGGAATTTTGCAATTTTTTACAACGAGGTCGTGATCAGAAGATCAAAAACTACTGGAAAACATATTTTTTATTTAAAATTTTAATCGCAAGTCAAAAAAGTTCCCTTTTGATATTGCAACAAATATAATTAGTCATAAAATTTTTTTAGTGATTCAGTTCTGTTTATCAACAAAAAAGTTGTGAAACAGTTGTTTCTTGACGAATTTTTGAACTTTCGACTGTACATATTTCTCAATAATGATTGTCATTTGTTTACACTAAATTCTTATCAATTTTCCAAGCATTTTTTTGGTATTAATAACTCTCGACCCCGTTTTTCAATCCTTTTTCTTCCTCCTTTTTTTTGCTAATCCCCAAACAACAACAACAAAATGTTGCCAAAAATCATATTATAAAATGTTGGGGCTGACTGGGAAGAAGAAGAAGAAAAAGAGAAGAGATGACAACAGAGAATAAGACGAAGAAGAGGAGACCATCTGTCACCACGGCCGTTCATCATTTAACCGCGCGCGCGAAGCCAAGGAGAAATTTTTCGGTGTTGATTGCTTTTCGCCCGCAACAAGACAAAAAAAAACTCACATATTTGAAACCGGTAATTGATGCTATCACAAATGGCTCATTTGGTGCCATTTCGACAAAAACCGTATCTTTGATTCGATACATGACACCTTCATGCGATTGGAATCCTTCCAAATCATTTCGCTCTCGAAACCGATAGACCTGCAATAAAAATTCTTTAATTTTTGAAGAAAAAGCAAAAAAAATGTTCTGAGAACACCAAACTCATATTTTATTAGAGTCGAGTTTGCCCTTTCAGTACACTTTCCCTTTTTTAATTATGCATATATTTTTGTTGTGTTTTTTTTGTTTGAAATTCGCTAGAAAAGAGTTCCAGCTGGTCAACCTCTTCTCTATTATTTACACAAGTCAGGAAGAAGGAAAAAGAAAAACCAAGGCAAAAGCTTTTTAACAAACTATTATAATGTGTGTATATGAGAAGAGGAGAAAAAAGGAGAGAAAAATGTGTTGACTATTTGTCATAATATACATATTTTTCGAGACTTTTTATTTTATTTCATTTTAATGGATGGACCTGACTGGGAGACTTTGAGTTATGACGAGAAAAAACTCTTCACGAGGAAATTGTTGAAAGTACAAGAATAGTACATTGACTGCCAACTGCCAACAATTTTACTTTAATTTTTTGGTTTCGGACATTTTTATTACACCCCCAGAAACAACAAAAATATTGCGCAAGAACTGTCCGATTACGCAATTAATATAAGTATCTAGTGAAGGCAGAGGCGGGAATGAAATAAGGGGGACGAAAAAAAAAGAATCATCTGGATTATCCTTTCATGAGCAGTAGCAAAAACGAAAATAAATGAAAAATATGGAAAATAAAATAAAATATAGTCTCACCTTTCCTCTCAGACTTCTATCTGATTTTCCTGTTGAACTGTAATAGCAAGGTTCAATGTCATAATATTTTTGTGAGAATTCCGGTTCATCCCCGTTTGTTAGTGGAGAAGCGCTGTCTGAAAATGAGAAATGGTCAAGATGAAAGAGAGAGAGATTGGGAGAAAATAATGATTACCTTGGCTTTCTTCCGAAGATGACTGTCCACAATCGTGTTCTAGGTCCATTGAAGGATCTGGAAAAAAATGAGTTTCATTCCGAAAAAGGAAGCGAAAATATTTAGGAGAGAAAAATAAACGGAGCATAAATAGTAAAAAACATGAACTAGAACAGCTCGATGAGAGAGTAAGAGAGCGGTTTGAGAAAAGCAGAGGAAAAAAGAAAATGAAACGAATGCGAACGAATGAATGCCTCGTCTCACAACCAACCAATACACACAGACACTCACTCATCATACCAAGCGGTCTCTGCTTTTTGCAATTCATCATATTTACACTTTTTGTTGTATTTATTTATTATTTTATTTTATTATTCCAAAAATTCGCCTAAATCTCTCAAAGGATTCCAAAAATCTCGCGAAAAAAACCGTTGAAAATTGAAGACAAAAACTCAGGCGAATATATTAGAGAATTGTTATCATCATCATCAAATGACAAATTGATAAGATCAGGCAGAAGAGACACTATACCGCATCAAACAAGAAATCAACCAGACAAAAAGCATAAATAGCAGAAGAACAGTTTTAATTGAGGGAGGAGACGGGATAACTAGGCATTTTGGAAGAAACAAGGTGTGGGAACCCTATAATTAGCTAGAGCACGACAAAATTAGCGTAAATTTTATACAAAAAACATCAGGAGGCTTTCTAACAAGCCCAAAGATTTATAGGTGAGAAACAAAAACGCAACATATTTTGAAAAAAATGCTGGCGGGAAAAAGAAAACACACAAACGTAATGAGACCAAAAAAAAATAGATGCGTGTTCCTATAATACCGTAACCAAAAATTTTTATTTCACTTTGTATGTGACTTCACTTCAAAGAACACAGCGTTTTAGCTCTGAATAAGAACGACATAGTGAAAAAATTAATGGAGCCGAAGACAAAAAAAGAGGCGAGAGAGTGTGTCGCGTTAAGAGTTGCAGAAATTGAAACGTGAACCCTAACTATAACTTTAAAACTTGTGAGAAAATGGATGAACTGAACTTCGAACATTGAAACTATTGGGAACAATAACTCGTCTAGTAAAAGTTGAACAGGTATAAAGAGCTCCAAACGAAAACAAACAGTCTGATAGTCTTATCGGTGACAGTGTCGCCAATTCGACAAAAAAGTTCGAAAACTTTTCTCCATTTCTCATTTTTGTTTTTTTCTACTTCTCCTTTTTCTCACAAATTAGCTCTTTGAAGCATATCATTATCATTACATTATCTCTAATTAATTTTGAAGAAGAACAACAAAAGTGTCAAAAAACGACCGGATACATTCATATACACACACACACAAATATAAATGTGTGTCCAGTGCGACGACGAGTGGTAAAGATGGGAAAAAAATAGGAGAAGAAGGAGGAGAAATGGGCAAACGCTATTTGAGAGACGAGACAGTATAGTGAGACGAAGAGGAATAGAGAAAGTAGTATGTTTTTGGGGTGAACTACTGAAGACGACCGACTAAATGACCTTGTCACCCTTAACCTCTCATCTGAAACTTGGAATATCTCATCTTAAAATCGAGGAAAAAAACAGCTAATCTTCAGATCTTTGGTCTACATAAGATATTGACTAATTTCTCAAAAACTAAGAAAAAATGCAACTCTCGAGATTTGGAAAAGAAACCAAAAGACCACCTATGGGTTTAATCGTTAAGAAAATGAAAATACTCATTCAGCGAAAAAAAGTGGCGGCATGTGGGGGGAGAAGGCAGCCAGCAGCAGGAATATTTACAAAATGTTGAACAAATAAAGCGGGTCACTACAAAAATTGATTGATTCTCGTCTCTTCAGCGTTCCAACAATAATAAAACAGTACATATAAGGAGAAAAGAAGGATTCAAAATGCTTGGAATCGAACTAGATTTGGAACTTCCAAAAAATGGTACAAAATCCTAAATTGTCAAATTTCTACTGAGCTTTGAAATTTTCATCAAGATTTACCTTGGGTAGCAGGCTACTACGAAGGGGTGAATCGTCGAGAGCATGCACCGGGCATCGAACCCACGACCTTGAGATCGAGAGCGGCCAAGCCCTCTTGATTATAATTACGCTTAACATTTTTTTTTCAAAATCACTGAGAAAATTGATTTGTAATCATTGGTCAGATGATTAGATGATAGGGTTAATTGAAATAATGTTTAAAAAATCTAGCCTAAAAATCCATCCCATCGTCTCCCACAAAAACTCATAAAATGGGCCATCTGCCATTTATTCATTCATTCATTCATTCATCTCCTCCCCTTTTCTTCCACGCAACAAAAACGGTTGTCATATCAAATTTCCACAAACTCACAAAATCACTTGCGAAGAAAAAAAACAACCCGCCGCCAAAAAAAAAACTCTCACTTCACGGCATAAACGAAAAAGCGAAAAACGCGACGACGAAAAAAAAAAGTGAACATTTGTTATTTATGATGATGATGATGATGATGTTCAAAATGCATGAGAGGATTAGTTAGATAATTGGATGGAGGATGTGTAGAAGAAAAATGAAAAAAGGAAAGAAAAGAAGGAGAAAAAGATGACACATTTCACCTGATAACACCTCACAAAAGTGTTTGATCAAATACTTATGTTATTTTGAAACAGCAGCAGGCAGGTGCGAAATTTTCATGGGAAGTCGGTTAATAATCGTTGGATGGAGACAAAAAATAATTGAGGAAATAAAGAAAGATTTTTCTAGAGAGAACTCATATTTTTTGTACTGAGAATATAAATAAATACGAAAAAATGTGGTCGAGAAAAGCTAGGTTGAACAAAAAATATTTGATGATTTATCATCTATATCAAGGACTTGATTGATTAGACATTTGAACTTGCAAAAATGCGAAACTGGTATGAGAACCTAGAGATTACTGTAAGTAAGTAAGCCAAGCCAAAATTTAGATTACGGTAGCTAGAGAGTCAATGTTGACCAAAAAAGCTGAAGACTTTGAGCTTGGGTGATCTGGTGAAAAACTTCGAGATCTTGAAACTGACAATGAGAACCTAGAACCTAAAACCTAAAACCCAAAACCTGCCATAAAATATCTAGTGCGAAGAATGGACGACGCTCCGCTCGAATAACCAAATCAAAGCGACCTTTTTCAAAAAAAAAAGAAGGAAGAAAAAAAGAAGAACATACATATAACGAGAGAGGGAGTGAGAGATGAGAGAGTGCAGAGATCGATCAAGTAGTGCAGCATACAACCATCTAATACCAGGCAAGTCTCGGTTTTGACACAAACAGAAAAATAGTCTAACTAGCCACACACACACAGGAATATTGTATATTATTGTTATTATTATTAATAATAATTATTGTTGTCGGTCTTGAGGTAATCGCTTCGGTGGTCAATACAAACACTCGGTGAACCACCCCAAAAATTTCTTCGGATCAAATTTCAAGCTGTTTTGCTTTCGCAAAACACCCCTTCGTTTTTCATTTTCTAATTCTTCAACACATACATACTTAATCTTATCAATGGAACTTGAAAAATTGATAAAAAACAATCAACTACATAAGTTTGTATTTATGCTTGATTTTTAAATTGAGGGGAGTGGAAACTATTTTAGTCTAGTTTTTTGCACCTGTCTGAACTTTTATTACAGAGGAAGGAAGTCAGAGTAAAATTGGATAGAATTTGAAATCCTATAGTTCTCAGTTCAAGAAAACCCAAACTTCTAAAGCATATCAATTTTCTTTTCTGTTCATTTCATTTTTTATGAGCAATATAAAAATTTGAGAAATAAAATTCAAAAGGCCACGTGTCACGTGAAAAATATTATTGATATTTAGGAAAGAATTTCCATATTTGTCAAGTAATTCTGATATGGAGCATTCTCTCGATAAGAACAAAAATGAAATCATAGTTCCGTTACCAAAAAACTCTGTCTATTTTTCCAAAACTGTTCCCAATTTTGCAAAGAATAATCAAGTCTCTAACCCATTTTTCCGTCTTTTTTTCCAGAAAAAAAAGAATGAGTATCGAATATGTCCCAAGGGTACAACTCGTTTAGTCTTTTCAACCCGCCCTACACAAAAAAACACAACAATAACACCAACCAACCAAAAAAAAACTAATAACAAATACACATATAAAACAAATGATGATCGGCAAACGTCAGAGAGACACATAGGAATAGACACACAAGATCATCAGATAACAAAGTGATGCCACATGACAGCTGGTTCAGAAAAAAGTAGGTAAATCAAATTAGTTGGAAACTTGGATTTGAAATCAATTCAGATTGGAGAAGAAGGAAAAATAACGTTCATGATTTCTGAAATATTCAGTGTCTGAAACTTGATATCGTCATATTCTGTCCCAGGTGAATCTCATCACACAAGTTCAAGCATTCAAAAAATAAAGAAGTCCCAAAGGCCTCGTGAATATTTAATTTCCCTCTTTTCTCTTCCAAATAAACAATAGATGTGAAGCTTGCCTAGAAAAAAAGTGAAACTCGAACTGTGAAAAATCTGGAGAGAGAGAGAGAGAGAGAGAAAGAGAACGAGAGAAACTCGACAAAAAACCGAGGAACAACAACTGATAAGATAACAACAATAACAACAAAAATTGAGATGTTGCGATTTCACTGGAACACGTGCGATGAGGTCAAAATTTGAAAGCTGTTCTTTCAGGTTAGGTTTTGAAACACGGATTGACAGAATCTCAAAAAGAGAAAAAAGCGAAGAGAAAAGAGAAAAAAGAAGGAGGGAGGAAAAAGGTTTTGGCGGTCAGAATAAAGCGATTAAAAATACATAAATACATATGTGTGTCATTGACTCCGCCCAAATTTATTGAGAATTTGACAAAGTTTCGGCACATAGAACATCATATAGGGTTTCAAAATTTGAATTTTTAAATTAATCTGAATCTAAAGCTCCTGTTGAACCAAGGGATTATTATATTTATTTCTATTGTTTACAGAAGCTGAATTTAGTGAGTACCTTGAAGTTAGAAGAAGTAGTGAAAAACACAACAATCTGGGCAATCCACGATTTTAATTGAATTCATTCACAACTCAATCAGAT